GGCGGCGGCGGTTGGGGGTGAGGGGGAGAGGACCCGGTGTGGTTGGTGTCCGTGTGAGGAGGAGAAAGGGAGGGGGGGGGGGTTGGTCTCCGCTCTCCGGTGGCGCCCGCGGGGAGGGCGGAGGTCACAGCGGAGGGAGGAACGGAACGGGACGGGACGGACGGACGAACGAACGTGTGAAGTGAGTGGAAAGCGGCGGCGACGACGACTCTCTCGCTCTCTCTCTCTCGCTCTCTCGGCGCCCCCGACGCGCGGCGGCTTCTGGGATTTGTAGTCGCTCCGTACCGCGTTCCTCCCTCCACCGACCCGCCTCCCGCCGCGCCGCCCGCACTACAACTCCCAGCACGCACCGCGCCACGGGCTCCCGCCCCCATCACCCCCCCCCCGCCGCCGAGGGCCGCGCACGCGCACGCCGCCCGTCCTGATCCACCCCCCCGCCCCCCCCTCCCCTGTCGCCCCGCCCCCTCCCCTGTCGCCCCGCCCCCTCCCCTTCTGCTCACTCCCAATGTTATTTACAGTAATAATACTAATAATCCTCGCATTCGCTGCAGCGCCTCGTCGCGCCTTCGAGACGCCTCAAAGCGCTTCAAAGGGATTATACCCCTTTGCGAGCGAGAGACCTGAGTTCAATTCCAGGCAGAGGGCGAAACCTCGGGCAAGTTTCCTTACTCCACACAGAGCCTAATAATAATCCCTCCAAAAACCAAAACAATAATAAATTGGTCATTTTCAATCCACGACTGTCTGTGGGACATTGCTGTGCGCCATTGGCTGCTGCGTTCGCCCACAAAGAAATACAGTCAATTCACTTTACAGTGTGTTCTGTGAAACGCTTTGGGACGTCCTCCCGACGTGAAAAGCGCTATATCAAATGCAAGGATTATTATTATTATTATTATTATTATTATAAGGGGATCGACTGCGACTTCTGCGGGCCAAACGATGACAAAAAAAAAAAGAGTCCAGACTCCCCGAGCGAGGGAGAGGTGAACGGTTACTGCTTACGTCACCACCCTGGTTTCCGTCGAATTGCGCTGGGAATCCAGGGTAGCGCCTCGCAGCACGGTTCCGCTGCTTGCCTTCCGTTTTAATGGCATGGACTTTTTTCCCCCCCCCTTCCACCCCCCTTTAGCCTCTCAAACCCAAAACAAGAGCGCTAGGCGCCAAGATTCCTTTCGTGAATGAATCAGTGTTCTTAAAAATGAATCATTTGCGCCGCATCCGAAAATGTCAACGAGAGAGGAATAGAGTTGTCATTAATCATTAGCATCGGGTGCTAATTGAGCTTTTAAGGTGCAGCGTGGACTTCGCTCACACTGCAAGTACGCATGTTGGGAGGCAGCAGCAAGATGTGGGGAAATCTTTTTAAAAATCATTCCAAACTAGTGTGGACACAACGGGGGTGAGGAAAGAGCAGGGCAATGGGATTAAGAGAGCTCCAGCAGGGGATCTGGCACTTCCACAATGGGCTAAATAGCCTCCTCCTGTGCCATAACAACTGTAAGTCTGCTACACGGGTTGAAAAGCAAAGCACTCCCAATGGGTGTGCAGTTGTAAATTTCTTGTAAAAATTGACAAATGAATTTGTGGCAATTAGATCCCAAAATGTCAACGTTCGAGACAAATAGAGTAACAAAACCAAACATTTTTTTATCCTTCCCTGAGGCAGCTGGTATTTTTAGTTTGCAAACAAAAACTTAATTGACAAATCTACTTCCTCCTGTAAACAGATTAACCTTTGCCTTGTACTTTATTGCATGAGATATTAATCCTTTATGAGTCGAGTCAAAATGAGTTAAGATTTTGGACTTTTTGGGGGGAGAACGACCTTTCCCCCCACAATCCCAAGGAGTGCCCTTATCTTACAACATGGCTTGGAAGAAGTAAACTACAAATGGGGAAATGCCAGCTATATGGGATTGAAAAGATTGCTTTTTAAAAGAGCCAGCACAGACACAATGGACCAAATGACCATCCGATCTGTACATTTCTATAGTTAAATTTCATTAGTTAAATGCTCCAAGACACTAGCCTGCTTGAAAGGCACAAAGTCAATGCACGTCCGCATTACATTTGGCCTTGCTTTGCAAAACGATTACCATCTTTAGTGCCAACACATGCACACAGTCTAGCCTCGTGCTCCCCTGTGCACACAGCACAAGTCAGTCACAATCGATCCGTCACAGATGTGTTCAACAAGTAACCACATAAAATTCACAGCACATTTTGCTATGCATATCAATAAATATTCTTTATTTGTAAATTCTGCACTTTGCGCTTGTACACGTTACATCCAAACATCATTTTAAATGGATGTAATTTTTGTAAAACCTTAAATCAGAAGTTTCAATTTTCTCTGTACACATTTATTGGTAAGCTTCTCTCGGTCACTAGACATTTAGTTTTAATTCTCACGGCGAGGAGAAACATTTAGTGAGTGGGAGAGAGGAGAGGAGGCATTGTTCAAAAGTATAAAGTAAGCTCATCTTGCAGACATCTGGCTGGATACTGCACAAGTCTCGAGAAAGCAGACGAGAGCAAAATAAGCCCCCCACCACCACCCCACCTGGCTGCTGCCACCGCCCTCTCACCAACCCCCCGCCTTGCCCTGTCCAGGAGAGTGTAGAAAGAAAATAAAAATAAAAATTAATCACCACACCAACTGTTCGAGATAAAATTATGCAACAGGAAACAAAAAAAATCTAAATTTCTTTTTTAAGATTTGAGAGAAAAGGCGCAGTGGTCACTGAGTGTTTTCATAGAAAAGGGTAGCTTCTAAGGTTGAGCTTTCTTTGCTAGTTCACACCAGCTACCGTCAGCCAGCCATTGCAGAAGTGTCTCTTGTAGTCGTTGGAGCGACAGTACTTCTTAAATTTCTCTTTGAGGAGCTGCCGATATTGTTCTCGGTTGACATAGAAAGATTGGTTATTTGCCATGAATGTCTGAATTTCATCCGGGGTGATGGCTTCTTCCTCAGAAGTACATTCAGATTCATCCTGGGAGAGGAAAGAGGGAGGAGAAAATCCACGCAAAATAAGTTAGTATTAATTTGCATTGCAACATGGTTTCTGTATTCATTCCCAATAGCTCCGGTTAGAATAATCTCTGCCAGCATTTGCCAGGTAAAAAGGCAGTTCAAGACAATGATCAGATGAACTTTGGTTGGTTGTTGATGGGGAAGGGTGAAGAAGAGGACAGAAAAAAAAATCAGGGAGAAGGAAGAGGTTAAACCAGACATCGACAGGAACACGAGGAGGCACGAAAGTCGCAGCTGAACCTTTTTTTGAGAAAAAACTGCTTAAAGGTTTAAATAAACAAGGCAATGTCATATGCCATACTAACTATGGTTTAAGAGAAACTAATTGCTTTGAAACTATTTACACTAATGATGGGGAAGGAGAAAAACTGGAGGGGGGGCAGAAACCATTTCCTGAAGTGCCACATCGCTGCAATGGTTAAAGAGTGTGAAAGATCGGGAGAACGGATGTGTTAGCACTTCTGTAGCAGAATACTCGTGAGGCAATCAAAAGGGTTTGTGTATGGGCTGTGGCTGCGCTGCCAACACTGCCTAAAACAGTCACGAGAGCCTGTGGAGGCGTATTCAAGAAATTCTCAGATTGCGAGAAAGAAAGGGGGGGGGGGGGGGTGTTGGAGAGAGAAAGCTATATCAAATGCAAGGATTATTATTATTATTATAAAACTAGAGTGAACATGTAACAGCTCAGTCTTAACACAATGGGCCAAAAAAAAAACACCATTAGTGAAAATCCAATTAAAATAGTTCTTACATTAAAAAAAACCCTAAAAGGAAACCAGGCATGTAACATTTAATTCAGGAACTAACCAACTCCACTCAAGTATAAGAAATCTTGCCTCCCGACTGTAATACTGACTGGGTAAGCTCTTTAGAACCCAACATGTACTCTCTTAGGAGGCAACGCGTGTGTTTTCCATTGATTTCCCGGCACAACAACAACAAAATTACATTTATAGAGTGCCTTTTACTTCGGGAGGACGTCCCAAGGCGCTGACTAAATGGGAGTGGAAATCTCGCCAACTGCCTGGCTATTACTTTCTACCCTTTCCTTGGCACTTAGTTGGCACAGGCCAAGTGATAAGATAGGTCGCAAACAGCAGCTGCCAACATTTGTTTCCTTTCAACTGCAATCCACGAACAACTTGCAATTATTAACGTCTTGCGCACACGAGGCACATCTCACAAAGACAATGGGGATGAACTGAGCATGGAAGGGGAGTTGGAGGACATTGGCCAAATTACATAATAATCACAATAACAATCCTTGCATTTGATATAGCACCTTCACGCCTTCGAGGCGTCCCAAAGCACTTCACAGAATATTTTGTAAAGGGAATTGCCTGTATATTTTGTGAGAAAAATGTCAACGGTTTGGATTCAATGCCTGGCAAGCTTCAAGTTGGCTTTCTTGAGAGTTATCGACATTTGTACTTACAAGCAGTTCCATTAAGGTTTTGGTGCCTTGTCCCCAATCAGGCAGACCCGGTGGTGGAATTTGTGATGACTGTGAAAAATGCTTCTCCGACAGAATCTGTGTGACCCACGCCGCCTGCTGGCTGCCTTTCACCGAGTTACTGCTATCTTTGGCTTTGTCGTGGTGAAACTCATTGTGCAAAGTGTTACCCAAATTCTCTCGTCTGCTTAGGTCTGTGCTGCAGTTTCCAGGAGCTTCGCTCTACAGAACAGGGGTGGGAAAACCGAAGAAAATTCAGATTTTTTTTTAAAATTCTCTTTTGTTAATTATTTCTTCGGCTCAACAGAAGCTGAAAAATGATAATATCAGGGCAACTTAAGACAGATACACGGCACTCAAGTGACTGGCTCAACACTATTCACAGAGGATAATGTTTCAGAGTGCTTACAGTGGTGGGCGGGGTTGGTCTCTCAAGCAGTGCAATCACCATCAATGAATGAGACAAGAAATTCCCTTCAGGGGTATTGTGGCATAGGATTACGTAGTCATACAGTGCGGTGTGCAAACACAGCCCATTATCTAACTCCTCCCACCGTCCCAATAAAAAAAAACCAAAAAGTTGGAGTTGGAATTAAACACTTAAAGGAACCAGAGACGCCACTTAAGAAGCTGCTAAAACACGAGACACTTACATCCTCGTCACATTTTGCACCTTTGTTTTTCTTCTTCTTTTTCTTGCTCTTGCCCTTCGTGTTCTCCTCGGAGGCATTGGCCCAGCATTCCACACAGCTGTCCACCCCGTCCTCCTCTTTGTCCTCCACACAGTGATGGACACAAGCGTCGTCGCCTGTCAGAAGCAAAGGGCAAGCACGTCAACAGATCCGCTATCGCTGTTGCAATCCAAACACTAATACAATACAAAATTACATTTGCATAGGGCATTTCACGCCGAGAGGACGTCCCAAGGCGCTGGGAGGTCTCAAATCTGGAAATAAACTAAAGCAATTCAAACACATAAATTAGAGGAAAGAACCAGAGGTATTTAGCCCATTAAGATCAGCACAGCCATCCATAGGGGCATTTCCATCTTAGCTTAACAAAACTGCCAGAGGTCACACCATTAACTTGGATTTGTACTGCGCTTCGCAAGTAGAATAAAGGTCTGGGCGCGCTTTACAAAATAAGAGGTTAAGTGGTTATAATGCAGGCAAACGCAGCAGCTAATTTGCATCAGCAATGTCCTATGAACAATAAGGTGAGTAATCCATTCATTTGAATGGGGATGAGTCTGAGGAAATAGAAGTCACAAAAACGTAACATAGCAGCTGGTGGTGGGGGGTGGGTAAAGGGGTCCCTTATCAACCTGAATCACAAGGCAGATGGAAGCTAATGAATAATAATATAAAAAGAAAACAAATCTGGAAATAAACTTGTGTTTAATATAGAATGATGTGTTGTTGGCAGTTTAGATGGTGCGCTCCTAAAATGCTCCCTCTCCAGAAGGTCTGCACCACACTAACCTGTTTCGTCGTGATTGCAGATACCCTCAGTGCAAGCGACGTCGGATCCTTCTCGCGATCCAGTCTCACTGCCCTCCATGCTCGACGAGTAACCGCAGTCACTGCCATTACACTGTGGGGACAACCCTGCACGAGAACAACCGGTTGAAGCTTCAAAGCAAATTTAGGAGAAAATTGAGCCCATTGGTTACTCATTTCTAAACTCAGGCTTCTGTCTTGTCTTATACCCAACTGTCTTAACACCATTTTGGCGCTGGATGTAACTTGGAGTCTATTAGCATACTACTGACTTGGAGGAGATACTAGTTACTCACTCAATTAACTTTCAATAGAAACCAGCCACACACAACAACAGTCGGGAACCAGTACGCACGTACCTTTCTTTGTTTTAGGTGATCCCAGTAGATTTTCACTCCCAGGACAGGTGCATGAGGTACTTTCATTTGTAACAATGACTTCAACTGTGGGGTGTGTGAGTGATTGTGTGGGTGTGTGTGTGTGAGATTGTGTGGGTGTGTGTGTGTGTGAGTGATTGTGTGGGTGTGTGTGTGTGTGAGTGATTGTGTGGGGGTGCGTGAGTGTGTGAGTGATTGTGTGGGGGTGTGAGTGATTGTGTGGGTGTGTGTGTGAGTGATTGTGTGGGTGTGTGTGTGAGTGATTGTGTGGGTGTGTGTGTGAGTGATTGTGTGGGTGTGTGTGTGTGAGTGATTGTGTGGGGTGGTGTGTGTGTGAGTGATTGTGTGGGGGTGTGTGTGAGTGACTGTGGGTGTGCGTGAGTGTGCGTGCGTGTTCGTTTGTCACATTTAATCCTGAGTGTAATTTTTTTTTCCTGGTGATTGTTGTTTGTGTCCATGAAACCCCAGGATTTGCATTTTCTTTCAAAAAAAGAAGGAATCCAGTACCTCTCTCACTCACTCACACACACACGTACACACACACACCAATCTAAGTGCCAAAACACTCAGTCTGCCAGCCTTTGCCTCCATTTAATCACATTTCTTCTTGTCACGGAGTGGGTTTCTGGCATATGCTGTGTGCGCTGAGCACGAAAGTTTGTTGCTGAACTCCCTCTCGCTCAGAGAGTGAAGTCTCTAGTTATGATGGTCTGTAATTAGAGGGTGAGGGGTCAGAAATTAACTTCCTAGGATTGTTATGTTGTTGTTGTTGTATGTGGAACTCTCAGTCTGGTTTGGATACTCGTTCATGAGGGTATTATAATAATAATCCTTACATCTGATACAGCGCCGTCTTCGAGACGTCTCAATTGATGGTTTTGTGCATGTGTCAGACACCAAAACAAGTTGACCAAAACAAACCTTGTGCTCTCTCACTTTCACTCTCTCTCATACACACACACACACACACCCTTCGGGACAGTGTGTTGAGATTAAGTGCATTAAATTGAGATTGACGATTAAATCCAATCTTCCTGATAACCTGTGTTGTAGAGTTGTTCCTCCGTTCTCGCCCGACTCCACTGGCTTCCCATCACACAGAGGATGCAGTTCAAGATCCTGGTCCTCACCTTCAAAGCCCTCTATGGTCTTGCTCCCCACTACCTCTGCGACCTCCTAACCCTCTACCATCCTGCTCGCTCCCACCGCTCAGCTCATTTCATATCCCCCGCCTTGCTCGACCCACTATTGGCGGGCGGGTCTTCTGCCACTCTGCCCCCACCCTCTGGAACTCCATCCCACAGTCCCTCCGCCTCGCCCCCTCCCTTGCCTCCTTCAAGCCCCATCTCAAGACCCTCCTCTTCGATCACCCTGCTTCCCTGCCTGCCCTCCACCCTCAGCAATCCTGACCCCCAGCTCGGGTCCAAAACTCTGTCTGTCCGGCGCACTGGGACATCCTCCCGACGTGAAAGGCGCTTTACAAATGTCACTTTGTTGTTGTTGTTTGTTGCTGTTGGTCCATTAATCTGGATCACAATGGAAGAAGTTCCCTCCTCCTTAGAGCTTCCAATAGTGTCGTGTGATCTTTAACATCTCTGAAGAACAGACACTCAAGTGCACACACGTGGTCCCACAGTATTAAACATCAGCGAGAAGCTGGCAGCTCTAGCAACTATGCCTGTAGAAAGTTTCCAGCTGACTGGTTTACTAGAACAAACTGTGCAATTAAAGGCGGGTGAGTGAGCGCGAGATACACTTTTATACCAGATTGTATTGGGCTGAGCCGCCCGGCACAGGTTCATTAGCACCCCAGGTGCCAGGGTCAGATATTAATCACATTCATTGCGTTAGTGCAACGACCTGATGGTGGAAAGGTCGGGGAGGGATCAATACACCACACAGATGGGGTCATGTCTTTTGCACTTTCTAACATTACAAAATACAGGGGGGATATCCAAGTTTTGAGGTGTATTTAGAAACGGGGTGGGGTGGGGAGAGAGGTTCCTGTGAAAGCTGTTTCAGGGAGTGAATGAGGGGCAGACACCAAGAACTGCTTCTTTATCCAGTTAATGATTAATTCTTAACAGTTGTTTCTGGAGGAGGGGGAGTGGGGGGGAGGCCTATTACCAGGAAGGGTGCTGTTACCTCCGGTCTCTTCCCACCTCCCTCCATTTACCTTTAATCCTGACTTAAAGCCAACCCCTACGACCGCACCAATAGTCACTTTGCTCATGTCTGACACCCATTCTTTCTCCCCCCCCCCCCCCCCCCCCCCAAACACTCGACGATGTCTCCCATGTAATGGCCGCTGTACTGCATGAATGCACAGTTACTGTTGTTATGCTCTGATGATTAGATGGTGGCTGGTATTTCCCTTCGTGAGGACCTCCGCCGGCTAAAGGCCCGTCTTAATCAGGTTCTACATGTGATCACATGCTGTTTGTTCATTAGCTTGAACTGGGCAGCGGGTGAATAACAACGTGAATCATTGCCTTCTAGCAATGGGTCCAAAACTCTTGACTTGGGCTTCCTGTTGTACCAGGTTGACAGACTGTAGGTTCTATCTTATCCTGAGAGGTTTGCAATGATCGTGGGTACATTTTGCTGTTTCCTTTGCAGCCAAAGATTTGAAAGCCGCCTTATTTCGCTCCCGCCATCGTTTTGTGTGTGACGCTGTGTCTGTGTGAGAGACTCCATGTGTGATATCACAACAATAATCCTTTCATCTAATACAGCACCTTTCCTTTCAAGTTGGTAGAACGCCTCCAAGCCATTCCCAGGATTTACCGTACAACGTAGGCAGCCAATTTGTGCAAAGCAACGTCCCACCAACAGCCATGAAGTCTGTGCAAAAATTGGCTGATCAATGTTTATCTTTGGGGGCGCGGGGGGCGGTGAGGTAGGATTGTTAGCCAGGACACCAGGAGAGAAAAACTCCTGTCTCTTTTCCAAGTCTTTTCCAAGTGGGCCATGGGATTGTTAACGTCCTCCTGAGCCCGGCACTGACCGGACTTCAGATTATTTTGGCCCATCCAAAGGACGGCACTTTTAACAATGCGGTTCTCCCCTTCCCTCTCCCACCAGCTCTGCGTTGGAGCCTCAGCCTAGACAAGGCGAGTTCAAAGTCCCCGACGTGGGACTCAAACCCATAACCTCATGACTCTTCGAGGGGAGAGAGCACTGAGTCAATCTGTGTTGTCTTGTGTTTGTCCGTGTGCCTACTGTGACCAGGCAGAGTTTAAACTGCTTGCTGTGACATAACCTCGGGGTGACAGTATATTTCAAACACTTCAATTATCCTCATTGCCTGGTAACTTAACCTGCGTGTGTGCGTGGTGGCATCATACCAGAGCGAATGGTTAATCATTTTTAAGCGTTGGGTAGATAACACAGGGTTTAGCCGGCGCTCGGCTCTGATAGAGCGAGGTGGTTAATGGTTAATAGTTAATCTACAGTCTTGTCATCCCAAGGGTTGATTTTCAAAGAGTATTTGGGGTTCAACTTTGAGGCCAATTTACTATGACACCTCGTGCCCTGACTGAGCGCTTTGTGAAAACCCAGAACTTGTTTTGAGTGTATTAAATGTTTGACTTCAGCTCTAGAGGGAAAAGGCTGATCTTTGCCCAGTACGAGAGTAGGATTCGATCATTTTCAAGTGGTAGTTTTGGGCCCGGGCCAGTGCTGAGTTGGCTGATCGCTGCCAGGGCAGTACTAATCCGGACAGACCAAAACACGGGCTGAATGCTGGGTATCAAATGTTAGCTGCAGTGTGAATGCTCCTCACCAGGAGCTGGAGGTGGATTGAGTTACCAGGAAATAAGACAGTCGGCCTCAATGTGTGACGGGTTAGAGCAAGGGTGAAATCAGCCTGGCGCCCCACTTCCTTATCCCCACCTCCTCCTTATTATATAGCACCCTTCATACGGGAGACCCACAACCTCCCAGCACGGAGAGAGAGAGAGAGAGAGAGAGAGCGACCCACTTTGGTAGTCTGGCACCAAATTACAGCAAACGGAAATTGCGCTTGGTTGGTTGGCACCGCTCCTTCAATGGCTTTAAGGTAATCGGATGCCAGGGTTGTTAGCTCAGGGAGGACTTTTATTTGCAATCCGTAATGTTCTCCCTCTGGGCGTATGATGCACTTTCCTCTTATTGCCTGTAATTATACCTTTGAGCCATTGATAACAGTGGGCAGAGAGAGAGAGTGGGGGTGGGGGTTTCAGTGGGTAGAGTTCACGATTGGGAAGTGGAAGGAATGGGGTTGGAGTTGGAACAATCAAAGGTCGTGGAGGATGTAATCTTGATTCTGCTCTAAAAAGGGGAATTCTCGTGCTTGGGGGAGTGGGGAGAGATGGAAGAGGCGAGTGGTGAAGGGAGGGAGGGAGGAGGAGGTGGGGGCAGAGAGACGCAAGGGTGTGGAGGGATTTGTAGGTGAGGTGAAGCGTCTCACAGGATTCACTGTAAAAGGGTAGTGACCCGGTGTTTTGCGAGCGAACACGGCAGCCGAATTTGTACATAGCAACATACACCAAATGCAAATATTGTTTGTCATTTCTGGTTATTATAATTATAATGATTAATCGCTAGAATTGACGTGGCCAGCCCTGCGTCCCCACAGCAGAGTCCGCTTTGAATTCGGATCGACCTGACTTCGGTCCGTGTCCTATTTTGCGGTGCCTTTTATAGACCCCTCACTGTGCGACTGACGCCTCAACGGGTCAACTTAGTGCAACTCGAAGGTGGTTGCATAACTGGGGATTTGAGACAGCAGATGGGAAAGATCTGATCTCTTGGCTTCACTCTATCTTTACCTCTGTCTCTGCTGCTGCGATCTGCTGGATGCTTTGTGTGTCAGCCTGGCGCAGTGGTAGTGCTCTCGCCTCTGAGTCAGAAGCCTCATGTTGGAACCAACATAGTCTAAGCTGACGCTCCAATGCAGTGCTGGGGGTGAGTTGCATTGTCGGAGGTGCCGTCCTTCGGTTAAAGATCCCTTGGCGGTATTCAGAAAGAGAAGGGAGTTTCTCTCTCCTGGTGTCCTGGCCAACAATCACCCAAATGAAATGAATTGGTCGCTCACTCCACAGCTGTTTGTGGGACACTGTTGTGCGCAAAACTAGCTGCCACGTTTCGCCCATAAAACAGACAGTCACTGCACTTACCACTATATTCGGGGAAGCACTTTGAGACGTCTCAATGCCGTGATAAGGCAGTGTGTCAAGCGCAATCATTGTTATTATTATCATTGGGGTCCTTCTATCTTTGCTTGGAGAGGGTGGGGTGTAAAAGCTCAGTAGCACCAATGCCCTCACCCCAACCCCCACCTCCCATATGCACCCCAACTGGCACATTAAGCGTTGGGGGAGGCGTTCAGAACCCAAAACACAAACTCGCGTTGGGTTGTCCACGCAGGTGGAGTGAGTGGTAGTGACTTTAATGGGGGGAGGAAGTTTCGGACAGAGTCACTCAGACAGAGTGATGTCTCGAATCCATCCGAGTCGTTGCATAAGTTTTGGCCGGAAATCTGCCCTCTCCTCCCCTGGGGAGGTATATGTACCGCACAGTTATTCGGGAAAGGTCACCCCCCCCCACCCCGAGCCTTTGTTCGGAGTTGGCTTCGGAGACGCTTTTAAAGGGATTAAATTGGAATCAATTAGCAGTTCCAGTGTCAGCTGCTCAGCCCTGCACTGGACTGGACCGGCTGCACAAACACTTCTCGGCAGTTGCGCTGTGTGTAACCTCAAGCCTGGCTGAACACTCATCTTGTCATCATTTGGCAGTCTGGCTCGGTCTTTCCCTCCCTCCCTTGCTTTCTCTCTCTCTCTCTCTCCTCTGGATTGGGAGGTTGGTGCATTCGACCCCCCTTCGCACATACGCACACCTGGCTCCCCCCCACCCATCCTCGGCGGCTTTGAGCTCACTGAGCAGGAGCCCCAGTTGTTAGTCGACTGGCGGATCGCTTTCCGGTGCTAATAATCCCTCCACAAAAAAAATGTGCTCATCCGACCCACGCCTGTTTGTCGGACACCACTGTGTGCAATTGGCTGCCACATTTCGCCCACAAAATAGAAAGTCACTCCACTTCACAGTGTATGGTGTGAAGCACTTTGAGACGTCACAACGATAGGGGCGGTATAAAAAATGCAAGTTGTTTGTCGCCGAGCCGGGCGAAATTACACCCATCTTAACCCTCTCCCCTGTTCCTCTTTGGGTTGGTGTAGAAAACGGCGGCGGAGTGTGAGAGCGCCGGTTACCCCGGGACTCTGATCCCTTACAAATGCGACCTGACCAACGAGGAGGAGATCCTGTCCATGTTCTCGGCCATCAAGACCCTCCACCAGGGAGTGGACGTCTGCATCAACAATGCCGGCCTGGCTCACCCTGAGCCACTGCTCTCCGGGAGGACCGAGGGCTGGAGGAACATGATCGCTGTGAGTCATCACCCGAGTGGGGTGACGGAGGGGTGGGGGGGGGTGTGGGTTGTGGGGTGTGGAGGGCCTCGTTTTTGGGGGCAATTTGTTTTCGATTTTTTTTCCGCTTTTGAATAATTTTCCCCCGAAAAGTTCTTTAAAGTTTTTTTAAAAATTTCTTTTTAACATGTTGAGGGGAGGGGTGGGGGGGTGTTGGGGGTGGGATGGAGAGGGGTGTAATTATTTCCCCAAACACATGACCGAAGTGAAGAATCAAGCGAGTCTCCTCGTCCCCGGGTGTTTTGGCAAAACGATTCCTATCGACATTAATTATCCTAAGGAATGGGTGAGAGCAAACACCGCAAATCTCGCTCTTAACCACGCCACGCCCCTCGGGTGGGTTACGAACCGCTATCGAGGGCTGAACAACAACATGAGCTTTTGAACACGTCCTGGGCTGGTGTAACAATAACCCAGGGTATTACCCAGTGCTTTGGGACATGGATGGGGGTGGGGGTTGGCAGGGGTCCTGCCCTGATCTGACCTGCCCGTCCGTTGTTCCTGTGCCCAGGTGAACGTGATGGCGTTGGCGATCTGCACACGGGAGGCTTACCAGTCAATGAGGGAGCGGAATGTGGACGACGGTCACATCATTAACATAAACAGGTAAGAGACTCACTGACCACAGAGCTGGGCCGGGCGTGGGATGGGGTGAGGGATGGTCGGCGCTAGCACCTGGAGCAGGCCAGGGTGGGGGAGAGGAAAGCTCCATTTAGAGAGTGATGAAACATCTGGTATGAAATCGATCGGGTCTCTGTGGAACCGTTCGGTGCAGTAACTCGGTCTCTTGTGGCGAACGGTACAAAGCCGGAGAGCAGGCCAGGCCCCGAGGGGCTGTGTGTGTGTGTGCGTGTGTGAGAATTTCAGGTGTGTTTGAAATTCTGGGAATTCTCCAAGACCTTTAATAGGGAGAGAGAGAGAGAGAGAGAGAAAGAAACCAAAGTGGATTTAGGAAACGATGCTTTCCGCAACTAATGCATTCGCAAGTCACGGTGTGGTTCGCGCGCACGTGTGTGTGTTTGTGCACGAGCGCCGTCAGTGTGTTTGTGAGTTGTGCGCACACTTGTGTTGCTGGGAGCAGTGGGTTTTGTTCCCCCTTGTTCTGTGGAAGACGAGGATCGCGAGCGAGCGACGGCTGCCAGGCGGAGTCTCCCTAAACTCGTTTCCCGCCCGCTCGACTCCCATCCCTCAGTCACATCTGCAACCGCTCGTGTCCCGAGGTATGGATCGGTTGCTCTGGCTGTGGCACCTTTATGTCCAGTCGCTCGCAGTAAAGTCTGATCCTCTCTCTCGCTCCCCCGCCCCAACCCCAGCATGTCTGGCCACCGGGTGCCGAACTCCCCGACCATTAGCTTCTACTCGGCTACAAAACACGCGGTGACCGGCCTGACAGAGGGGCTGAGGCAAGAGCTCCGGCAAGAGAACACCCACATCAGGGCTACGGTAAGAGCTGCGGGGAGTATTGGTGGTGGCGGGGGAACGGGGGGAGAGGCAAGCCCCAGGAAACCATTTTGGGGAGGTGCAGGGGAATAAACAAGCCCGGTGTGTGGGGGGAGAAGAAACAAGTGAGGCTTGTGAAGTAGTGTGTGAGCGGTGGGGGGGGCTGGGGGCTGGGGGTGAGGAGAGAGATGTTCAAACGCAGTGATGGGGCATGCGGCTGGGGGGGGTGGGGGCGAAGATGAGGAAGAAACAGTAACCCTCGGGTTGCTTTGATGATTAACTCTCTGCCCCGCTCCCCGCAGGCTATATCGCCGGGGCTGGTGGAGACGCAGTTTGCTTTCAGGCTGCATAACAACGACCCCGAGAAAGCTGCGGCCATTTACGAGAGCCTTAAGGTACGCAGCGCTCGCTCGCTCTTGCTTGTACACGATTTAGATCTTTGAGTCTCCTCGCGTGGTTGTTAGCGCGCTCGCCTCGCAAACGACAGGACCTGGGTTCAATTCCCGAACAGGGCAAAGCCTTAGACAGGTTTCCTTACTCCACTCACTTCTCTTTACCCAGCACTAGGTAGGAACCCGGTTGTTAGTTGATTGGCCCTTCGCCCCCAAAAATATTATAATAATTTAGTCACTCGATCCACGACTGTTTGTTGGGACGTTGCTGTGCGCAATTGGCTGCCGGGTTTCGCCCACAAATGACTTTACAGTATGTTTTGTGAAGCGCTCAGTGGCATCTCGAAGACGAACCCATTTTGGGGAGGCGCAGGGGAATAAACAAGCCGTGCGTAAATGTAATCTTGTTGCTTTTTGTTGATGTCTCAAGCACCGCGATCGAACCAGATAACGGATGACTTTTGATTTGCTGTCTAAATTCCATTTGTGGCAACCTGCCTCGGTATCTCCTCCGCCGCCCCCGCCCTCCCGCTCACCCACTTCTTGGAATGTGCCTGGAGCCTGGGACTGCCCGGGCTGGGTGCCCGGGAAGAATGCAGAGCAAGTCAACAACGTTCACCTCTGCCAAGTCCAAGTGCCCGCCTGCCTGGGTTCCTGGGAAAGCGAAGTGCCGGCGGGTTAACAATAATAATATAATGATCATTAGAAGACATTGCAATAATAACCCTTGCATGTGATACGGCGCCTTATCACGTCATTGGGACGCCTCGAAGCGCTTCACAGGAGTAAAGTATTAATGTAATAATAATCCTTGCATTTGACGTAGCGCATTTTCACGTCTTCTCGACGTCTCAAAGCGCTTCACAGAATATAGACCGTATGTTTGTGAGCGAAAAGTACAGTCACTTTGCCAATGCAGCAGCCCATTCAAGCTGTGAAGTGAACGAGCGTTTTTAAAGATCCCATGGCACTATTGGAAAAGAGAAGGGACTTTTTCTCTCTCTCTCTCTCCCTCTCTCCCAGTGTCCTGGCCGACGATCCACCCCCACCCCAGCCCCAAATAAAATTGGTCGCTCACTCGCTCCACAACTGTTTGTGGGACATCGCGGTGTGAAAATTGGCTGACGTGTTTCGCCCACAAAGCAGTCACTCCACGGTATATTCTTCAAATGCAAGGGTTATTATTGTAATGTCGGAGCCCAATGTACAACAACAACTTGCATTAATATAGCGCCCCTCACAAAGGGCAGCGTCCCAGAGCGATTGTGTAAAGAATGTCTCTCTCTCTCTCTCGCTCTCTCCTCAGTGTTTGAAGGCGGAGGATTTGGCACACGCTGTTGTTTACATACTGAGCGCCCCTCCACACGTCCAGGCAAGTGGCCGTCTGCTGCTCTTATGGAAGCTGTTCAGTGATTTATGTTGCAAAACACTGCAAACGAGTCACCGCCAGTGGCTTCAATTCTCTGTTCCCCCCCCCCATACACACACACGCTCACACACGGACACACACACTCACGCGCACTCACTCACGCGCACTCACTCACGCGCACTCACATACCTGAAGCAATAAGAAATCTGAAGTTTCAATTTACGAGGGTTTCAACAAGATTGGATTGTAGAATTTTTCTTATAGAAATGCATCGTGTTTGTGTGTGTGTGTTTTTTTGGGGTGTGCGAGTGTGATTTTCGGGGGTCTGGGGGGGGGGGGATTACCCTGTACTGTGATCGATGGTCACCTTTGTGTCGTTTCTCTTTTCAGATTGGGGACATCCTCATGAGGCCCACGGAGCAGGTGATGTAGCGAGGTGTGAGGGGGTGGCGGAGCGGCGAGTGTGGTGGTGGCGGGGGGGGGGCCGCGAGCAGGACACAGTGCTCCCCCACAGCCTGGAGACCTCCGCCGAACACGAGTGTGTGTGGGTGTGCGTGTGCGAGTGTGTGTGAACGTGCGTAAGTGTGCGAGCGTGCTTTTTTTAAAAAAAAAGACTTAACAAGAAGTGAAGGATTGTATCTGGGGTTTGCCACCCACACCCAGCGCTGTGCTGATCAGAAACACACGGCCAGCGAGGTGGAGATGTTCCAAAATTTATTTTGAAGCGTTGACGCTGAATCTCCTTTATTCCCCGCTTTCCCCCGCCCCCCCCCCCCTTCTCCCCTCTCTCCAAACACACACCCATTCCTCTCTCCCTCCTCGTTCGCTCCTCTCCTCCTCCAACACAGTGTTTGTGACGCTGGCCGGAAGCATATCAGTGCCAGTCGCAGAGAATGTTGAATTCTCTCCAAATGGAGTCCTCCTGTAGCCTATTGTTTTATTGGTAACCGCGTCGGGAAAAAAATAACGCTCAGAGTAATTTGGTCACTCAATCCACGACTGTGTGGGACGCTGCTGTGCGCAACCGGCAGCCGCATTTCGCCCACAAAATACAGTACACAGTCATTTCACTTTACGGTATATCCTGTGAAGTGCTTTGAGACGTCTCAACGACGTGATAAGGCGCTGCATCAAATGCAAGGATTATTATTATTATTACGTGTTGCTGCTCATCACGAGAGGGGGAAAACCTTGCCCCAGACTCTCCCTTAGCGAGCTCGACCCTCTCCTCTGTCACTTCACACTATAGCCGACCATTAACGGAACCCGGAAGGCGAAATTCCTCCCTTCTTCCCCAAATAACACACGTTTCTGTTATCGGAATATTTTGTTTTGCACTGATTCCCCTTTTCGGTGACCCCTCGAAACCCGAAGTATCGCCTCAAAGAGGTGATCGACAAACATACATTTGCTGTCAATTAATTGTAACGTGATTTTAACCTTGATTTCTTTTTCTTTTTCAAAAATGTATATTTTTTTCGTCGCGACCTACGTCAGGGTAAACCCGAGCCACGGCATGGCGGGGAATATGCACAGTTTGCCAAGCGCTGGTGCTTTTTTTGTTGTTTGTTTATAGACATAAAGTTATTAATATAATACTTTTTTTTGGGTTTAATTATTAACAAAAGAGTCCTTTTTGAAAAAAAATAGTAGGACCCGAGATAATGTTCTTAGCAGAGGGTGGTTGTGAGGTTGGAGAGGGGATATCGGGGTGAGAGCGGAGGGGGGAGCATTTAAATTGATTTGTTTTCTCTCTTCGCATCTCCCTCTCCCCCCCCCCCCCCCCCTTTAAAAAGTGTCCCCCAACCTGCGATTTTCCTTTTACGGTTTATGAAGTGATTTGCACAGAACGAGCCTACGAATTAATACACACACCCCCCGCCCCCTCATTAAGGAATTAGGGTCCCCACATGCATCTTCACTCCTTTACCTGGTTCACTTTAGTCCTGGTGGGATAATCTCAGCGGTGGGAATAGTGTGGGGTGGTGCGGGAGGGGGTGTAACAGGACTTCGAGAACACTGAATGACGGTAGCCAGGGTCGGGCGAGCTCTTTAATCACCAGACATTGGCATGTTTGACTGCTGAATAATTCTCTCCTCCCCTCTCACTCTTCCACCTCCTTCCCCCCCACCACCACCACCACCACTACCCAAACACACACCCCCTCCCCTCCCTTCAAATTTGGAGTTGTGGGAGTTGGGTTGAAGTTAATTAACCCCCTGAGTTATTTTTTTTATTATTATTTTGGGACCGTGCGATATTCTTTGATTGACGCGTCTAGAATTATTAATGTTTCTGTGAAAGTTTCAACCAATGCTGCTAAAATCTCAAAAAGGAAAAAAAAAAACAACCACGAATCTATTGTTTTAGTATTATCTGAATTGTGATAAATAAATGTCCTTCCTTCCATGTACGGAGTCTTTGATTGTGGTGCGATCGGCCGTGCAAACGGGGACATTAAAGAGTTCAGAGCCATTCAAAGCGGAGGTTATTATTGTATCCTACAGCACAGGATGAGCAGTCTCTTTGCAAGTGAGAGACCCGAGTTCAATTCCAGGCAGAGGGCGAAACCTCGGGCAAGTTTCCTTACTCCACACAGAGCCTAATAATAATCCCTCCAAAACCAAAAACAATAATAAATTGGTCATTTTCAATCCGCGGCTGTTTGTGGGACATTGCTGTGCGCAATTGGCTGCCGCGTTCGCCCACAAATATACAGTCAATTCACTTTACAGTGTGTTCTGTGAAGCGCTTTGGGACGTCCTCCCGACGTGAAAAGCGCTATATCAAATGCAAGGATTATTATTATTATGAGGACATTCGGCCCATCGTGCCTGTGTTGGCTCTTTGAAAGAGCTGCCAACTGGTCCCCGCTCTTCCCCCATTTATTTCCATCAATTTATTTGCATAATTTATTTCCGTTATTTATACCATCATCTTTGGGATGGCAATGGCGTGTGGGGGAGAGAAAGTGAACAACTGCATAGATCACCATTGAGGTAATTAATGCTGCTCTTTGAAAGAGCTGTTCAACCAGTCCCACTCCCCCACTCTTACCCCCAACTAGTCCCACTCCCCCACTCTTACCCCCAACTAGTCTTACTCCCCCACTCTTACCCCCAACTAGTCCCACTCCCCCACTCTTACCCCCAACTAGTCCCACTCCCCCACTCTTACCCCCAACTAGTCTTACTCCCCCACTCTTACCCCCAACTAGTCCCACTCCCCCACTCTTACCCCCAACTAGTCCCACTCCCCCACTCTTACCCCCAACTAGTCCCACTCCACCACTCTTACCCCATATCCCTCCAAATGTTTTCTTTTCAAGTTCCTGTCCGATTCCCTTTTGAAAGCCATTATCAAATCTGCTTCCGCCTTTCATGCAGTGCATTCCAGATCGTAACAACTCGCGTTTTAAAAAGAAATTCTCCTGGTCTGCCCTCTGGTTCTATTGCCTATTATCTTAAATCCGTGTCCTCTGGTTACCGACCCACCCATCCGCCAGTGGAAACAGGTTCCCCTTATTTACTCCTTTATAATTTTGAACACCTCTATTAAATCCCCCCTCGACCTTCTCTGCTCTCAGCTTCTCAAGTCGCTCCACATAACTGAAGTCCCTCATCCCCGTTATCGTTCTGGTAAATCACCTCCGCACCCGCCCCAACCACCGCCCCCTCCCACCCCACCCACTGGCCCGTCAGGACAGGAATCACATTGACCTGCGCCCCTTAATGAGTCTCTTGTCGCATTGCGAATTGATGTCCGTGTGGGAACGCCGAGCTATTAGCATCCAATGAAAGCTTTTGTCCCGCCAAAGCTGCACAGTTTCATGTCTTTGTTTATTAATAATAATATATATTTAATAATCCCTTATAGTATTAAAAATACAGTGCTATTGAAGAAGACGGGGTGGGGTGGCGGGGGAGCGCCCACTGAGTGGTCAAACACCAGCTACGTCCCTGTGGTTTTTTTTGGGGGGGGGTTTCACCATCGATGTGTTCGGAAGAGGAATCCTCGCTCCTCACTTTCCCAGACAGACGGACCGAGGCGCAAATATTCTTGTAAACCGTGTCCCGTTTCCGTGCGGTGAATGTGTCCCGGCCACGGACGGTTCGGGAATAAAGGCCACTCTGAAAACGCTTGACGTGCGGTGTTCCATTTCTCGGGAGTTCGGACTCTCGTCTCCACACCGCGTCTCGTTTCCTCTCTCCCTGTTGTGCGGCCGAGGGCGAGAGCGTCTGCTGTCGACACCCCTCGAAACCGAAGGTTGCACAACGCGTGACACTCACCAAACTCCTTACTCGTGGCGGGTGTCAGCCTGGCTCTGTGATGCTCTCGCCTCACCTCACAGGTTGTAGGTCGGGAGTGTGTGGACCTTGAGCCCATGTTGAGCTGATACTGAGTGGGTGTGGGAGGAGGTTAGAGGTGCCGTCCTCCGGACGCTAAACCCTGCGAGACCACTGGTGCTTTGCAAACTGACTGCCAAAGAGTGTCAAGGGTTGGACGTGGAAGTGAGCTCGTAACCAGCAAATTAAACCTGTGACTAACTAACTAACTAACTAACAAACCGCCTGTCTGTGTTACTCGGTTGTTTATAATCTCGTGCTTGGGTTTATCGGGAAGTATCTGACTATCCGTTGTGGTTTATTCTCCTTCACACAGGACGTTAGCCCTGCTTTATTAGGCATCGTTTGCAGATTATTATCCTGTTGTTTATTGGGGAGGGAAAAAAAATCATTTGTTATAATAATAATCCTTGCATTTCATGCCGTGCCGTACCACGTCACAGGATTTTACTGTCAGGCGTAGTGACTGGGTGCTTTTCCTCAGTGGGAGGAATTTCCCCATATGGAGTCCACGTAGCGTAGTGGTTAAAGCACTCGCCTCGCAAGCAGGAGGACCTGGGTTCGATTCCCGAGCGGGTTGGAGTGAAAACGTAGGCACACCTCTGTTTACTTAGCAGTGAGTAAGAACCCGGTTGTTAGTCGATTGGCGGATCGCTTACCAATTGATTATTTGATGGTAATAATCCATCAAATAAATTCGGTCACTGAGTCCATGACTGTTTGTGGGACCCCGCGATGCGCAATTGGCTGCCGCGTTTTGCCCCCAAAATACACAGTCACTACACTTTACAATATATTGTGTGAAGTGCTCTGTGAAGTCTCAACGGCATGATAAGGTGCAATATTAAATGCAAGGATTATTATTATTATAATAAAAATGCCACCAAATAAATATAGAAAGCGAGGGTATTCCATTCCAGATGCAAGAGGTTTCACCCCATCCCTTCCCCCCCCCCCCCCCCCCCAGCTCAGCGTCAGGCTCGGACACTGTTAAGCGCTCCGAGATGCTGCCCCGCGCGAAGGGCACCATATAAATGCAAATTGTTGTCTCTCTCCCCGGCCAGTGTCAGAGTCTCTCCTGGGGTCGGTGACGGAGTTAGAGGTGTGTGTTTGGCAGCTTTTTGTTATCCACGGGGAGGGGCGCGGGAATCATCGGAATTCCGGGATAGGGTGGCGGAGAATCCGTGACCATCTCGCTCTGTTTTGAATCGCCTTCGAGGCCAAAGGGAGTGAGCGATCTGCCTAACCTCTGCGGAAAAAAAAAAGAAATAACCACCGCAACACATCAGTTGGCACCAACGCCTTTCGTGTCAGGAGGGCTTCCCAAAGGGGCTGGACAGTCGGGGGGGATACGGACCAGAGGTGAATAAAATACAATAAAATAAATAAATATAATACTATTAATTATCAATATTAAAATATAATAAAATACATTAAAAAAATAAAATACATCTCTTGTGAGAGATCAATGAGGACTCCGACTGTGTGGTTAGATCGCCACCCAGTGGACACTTGCAGTCGGTGCCGCTCATATTGTATGGCACTGATCCATCCTTTCCCAAAGTGATATCATGGGGGGGTTTGGGGTGGGGGGTGGAGTTGATTTTAATTGTGTGAAAAGCTCTGAAAGATAGACAGGGGATCTGCACTGCCTTTTGACAGAGTAAGGAAACTTGCCTGAGGTTTCGCCCCTCCTACCCCGCAGCCGCACGCCCACCCCCCACCCCCCCCCCACCCGTCCGGGAATCGAACCCGAATCCTCCCGCTTGCGCTACGAAACAGGTGGCAGGTTGCAGTCAGGGGGGATGCTAAGAATGGAGAAGACCGTACCTGGAGAAAGGGACCCTTCAGTTGGAATAACGTGTGAACGGCTCCGATCGGAATCCAGATCAGGGAAGCCAGAGCGATGATCCAGCCGAGACCCTGACCCCAGTCAGGATACACGTAGCTGCCGTAGCGTGCAGGCTCGAACTGTATCACCACGAACACCATAATAATCTGACAGCGGAGAAACAGAGGCCGAGTTTAATACACCTTCATCATCAGATAACCTAACCTCAACCACCATCATCACACACACTTCAGTGCAGGCACGGTAAAAGGATGACTGAATAAATCCTCCCCCAAAAAACACGCCGTCCCTGTTCTAAGTGTTACAAGACGCTACCAGCAATGTAGGGCGGTAGATACTATTACTGCTACTACTACTAATCCTCGCCTTATCCCGTTGTTGAGACGTCTCAAAGCGTTTCACAGAATATACTGTAAAGTGAATTGATTATATTTTGTGGGCGGAAACGCGGCAGGCAATTGCGCACAGCAGCGTCCCACAAACAGCCGTGGATCGAGTGACCAAATTTTATTCTCTGGTGAGATTATTACCCCCGGAAAGCGGAAATCTGCCCAGGGTTTGTGCCCTGTGCGGCCTGGAATCGAACCCGGGTCCTCTCGCTTACGAGGCGAGCTCACTGACCGCTACGGGACTCCACTTCACGGGATATAGTGTGGAGTGACTGTGCATTTTTCACAGGTAAAGGTTAATGTTGTTGTTGTACGTACTGTTACCAGTGCGGGTGAGATCGCCAGCCAGCAGGCACGGAAGAATATGCCAGGTCGCTTCCCGAGCATCGTCTCGATGTTGCGGCAAAGTCGGGGAACACCTGGAAAACACCACACGGGAATCGTTTCAGGGGCCGATCGCGACCTATCTGCGTGCGGCAGGTTGGACCTTAACGGCCTCATTAATGGGGGAAATCCTCGCAGGTGGTGGCGGAGCCAAGTTCCTGGCTGGGGAGGCGGGGGAGGTGGAATGGGCAATGTGGAAGTTTTTTGTTTAGTGGGCGATTTCTCTCTCTCCCCTCCACCTTCCCTCACACACACACACACACACACACACATACACACATATACACACACACTCATACACACACACACATACATATACACACTCACATACACACGCATACAGAACTGGCTTTCAGGAGAGCTGGGTGGAGGAGTGTTGGGGATGGAGGGGTGGTTGGAAGTGACTGATAGCTCTCCTACCTCTGGTGGGTGGAGATGTGTGTGCGTGTGTGTGTGGGGTGGGGGGCGGGGGGGGGTGGCCTGGCCAGCAATGGCGGAGGGGAGGGGAGTGGAAGGGAAGGGGTGCCACACTTGGGAGTACATACCGTAGATATAGGAAACGGAGATGACCTCAAAGAAAGTCAGGAAGACGATGGAGATTTTTGCCGTGTAATGATCCAACAGTTGAAAAACGTAAACTCCCCCCTAGAGAAAGGGAGTAAAGACACACGGACATTGCTTGGGGTTGGCAGATCCCACCAGAGAGACGCTGGGGTGGGGTGGGGGAAACAAACCAGGAGAGAGTTTATAGACATGAGGATACCGTGGTGTCTGGTGCTGGTGCTCTCTCCCCCATTGGAGCTCTCTACTCTAATCCCATTCCCCTAATTGCTGTAACGGGGCAATGTGTGACCCACCCTCGACAGAACCCTCTCTCCTCCCCCTCTGCTTTACTTAATGACAATAATAATGATAATAATTTGGTCACTCAATCCACGACTGTTTGTGGGACACTGCTGTGTGCAATTGGCTGCCGTGTTTCTCCCACAAAATACAGAGTCACTACTATTTGCTGTATGTTCTGTGAAGCGCTTTGAGGCTGTGTCAAGTGCAAGGATTATTATTATTATTGTGTGTTAAACAGACCCCGGAAACAAAGTGTCTTTGCATTTGCATTTGATATAGCGTCTTATCAAGTCTTCAAGACGTCTCAAAGCACTTCGTAGAATATATTGTAAAGGAATTATTTACCCCCGGAATAGTGATCTGCCAATCGACTAACGACCGGGTTCCTAATTACTGCTCGGTAAACAGAGGCGCGCGGAGGACGGAAACTTGCTTTGCCTGGGAATCGAACCCTTGCGAGGCGAGTGCTGTAACCACTGAGCTACAGGTGAAGGTGAAACTCAGAGAGGCTTCAGATGGGTGGGGGGGGGTGGGCGGGCGGTGGTTTGGCTCATTACCTGTGTGACGTTGGGGATTCCCAGGAGGAACGCGAGGACACAGACACCCAGCACCACAAACTCCATCCTCTTCACCACCCTCAACAGCTGAGTCCGGTAACTGTCCGTCAGGCTGGTCACCAGCACCTCCACCATGGCAAACTGCAACGGCAAATGCCAAGTTACCCACAGATAATATTAATATTAATATTAATCCTTGCGTTCGATACAACGCCTCGTCACATCCTCAAGACGTCTGAAAACGCTTCGTTAGAATGCACTGTAAAGCGGATTGACTGTCGATTTTGTGGGCGAAACGCGGCACAGCAACGTCCCACGAACAGCCGTGGATTGAGTGGATGGACATAAAATTATCACTGGAGAAGTTTCAGCGAAGAAGTCCCCTCGGCCCATGTGATCTCATCCTCACAGAATATTCGCCCCCGTTCCTCCCCCCATCACACCAGCGAGTGCTGACCTCCCGGAACCCCCAGTCATCGCTCTCTACCTGACTGTCCAGCCCCAGGAACAAGAGCATGAAGAAGAACAGCACTGCCCAGAGTGGGGGGAAAGGCATGGTAACGAAGGCCTCTGGGTACACCACAAACACCAGGCCCGGGCCTGAAGGGGGGAGAATAAAACAGTCACTTTTCCATAGGTTGTTGATTGATTGATTGATTGGTTGGTTGATTGGGTTGGTGGTGCCATTTACTCAATCGATTGATATTGAGTTCAATACAAGTTGTTGCTATTGATTGATTGATTGGATTATTGATTGATTGGGTTATTGATTGATTGCGTTATTGATTGATTGGGGTTATGATACACTGCACTTTTCACCCTTCCTCCAATTCAGAATCACATTCACACTCAGTGAGAGAAAGAGAGAGAGAGAGGGAGGACAAGACACATTCATTGGCAGTCTGTCGTCAGAATGCTGGACAGAGGCAAGAACTTTCATTACATCCGTTCCGTTCAAGTCTCTATTGTTGCATCTCGTTTATATCAAAGATCAGGGAAAGCAAACAGTGGCGTCAGACACTGGTGGGGGGGGCGACAGAACTGGTTATAGGACTTACCGTCCACGGCGATGTGGTCGATGGGCACGTTGATCATGTGGGACATGTAGCCGAAGGCTGAGAAGATGACAAAGCCAGAAAACAGGCTGGTGCCAGCGTTGGTCAGAGAGACAGCCAACGTGTCTCTAAAGGAGATCAGAGAAACGGAAAAGGATCAAACAGCAGCTTTGGCCACAAAACACACAGTCACTTCACTTTACAGTGAAGCGCTTTGAGACGTTTCAATGAGGCAATAAGGTGCTGTATCAACTGCAAGATTATTAATATTATCGACAGCTGGAAATTCACGCTCTGCGAAGTGAGCCCATAGTTTAATAATAATAATAATAAAATAATAATAATAATAATCCTTGCATTTGCAGATAGACCTATAGACCTACCCATATGCAGGTGCTGTGTATACAATAGGCTTGAAACTGATCAGTAATTTGTGGAGAAATTATCCCCTTTTAAAGGGCTGTTGCACTTTGCAACTCTTTCCCCCTTGCGCTCGCTTTGCCAAAGCTGAGATGTTCGACTTTGTCACGAGAGATTACGTTTTATTATTATCACGTTATTAGATCACTCCGTGGAGACAGCTTCTAAAGTGGTTTTCAGCGCTGGGTGAGCCAGACCGACAACACTGCCACGTTAACGCCTGTTATTTTTCTCAGACCTTGGAACCCGCCCCAAAATAACTAGTTTCTGCGGGAGCCGAACGTCTTGTGAACCGGGTTGTCTTGTCGAGCCGTTTCTCAAACTGTCTTATTAACAGCACCCGGTTGCACCAATGGTGATAGGACCTGCGCTTGCCCTGTTCTGTCATGTACGTCTCCGCATTCAATTTATAGGTCAATGCACTTCCTTGCTTTGTATCTTGCAGTCAGTTGGAGGAAGCACGTCAATTAAACTACACGCACAATCTATTTCGGGATGATCTCTAGCCTGTTACGGGTGACTGTCCTGTCCTGGCGAAGCCAGTCGCCATGTGCCGGTTTCACTCTGGCAAAAAGACGAGGGAATTACTTGAGAATGGTGTTGTCGAACTGGTTGTAACTGGACATGGAGATGAGCGTCCCGAAGCCGATGCCAATGGAGTTGAAAACCTGGACAGCAGCGTTGACCCACACCTGGAGGCCGAGCAGAGGGAGAGAGGGAGAGAGAAAGGGAGAGTCATTTCTCCTCAAATGGCTTCTCCTCGAGCCCCCGGACCGTCTCGTGTGGTGTTCCTCAGGGCTCTGTCCTGGGTCCCATCGTCTTCAATATCTATGTGCTCCCCCTGGGTGACTTCATCCGCAGACATGGGGTCAACTTCCACATGTATGCGGATGACACCCAACTCTACCTCTCTGCCTCCACCCTCGACTCCAGGACCCACTGCTGTGCTGACAGACTGCCTGTCCGACATCAAGTCCCGGATGAGAACTAACTTTCTTCACCTCAGGCGCTGATAGCATCGCTATCCATGGTTGCACACTCCACCTCACTAAGCCAATCCGGAACCTTGGGGTCTTGTTTGACCCTCAATTATCCTTTCTACCCCACATCTGCGCCATGACCCGCTCTGCCTTCCCCACCTCCGCAAAGCCACCCGGCTCCAACGCTATCTCACACCGAAACCCTCATACAGGCCCTCATTACATCGAGGCTCGACTATGCAAACCGAATGCTCGTCGGCCCCCAACTCCTCCCTCCACGAGCTGCAGATCATCCAGAACTCTGCAGCCCGTGTCCTCTCCCGCACCAGGCTCCGCGACCCTGTCACCCACATCCTCGCCCGACTCCACCGGCTTCCCATCACACAGAGGCTACTGTTCAAGATCCTGGTCCTCACCTTCAAAGCCCTCCATGGTCTTGCTCCCCCCTACCTCTGCGACCTCCTAACCCCCTACCATCCTGCTCGCTCCCTCCACTCAGCGGGCTCCGGCCTGCTTCACGTCCCCCGCCTCACTCGCCCCACTATCGGCGGGCGGGCCATCCGCCACTCTGCCTTCGATCTCCCCGCTTTCGATCTCGCTGCTTCCCCGCCCTCCCCCCTCCCCCACCCTGACCCTCAGCTCGGGTCCGTAGCTCTGTCTGTCCAGCGCCTTGGGACGTCCTCCCCACGTGAAAGGCGCTTTACACGTATAATTTTGTTGTTCTTGTTGTTGTTGTTGTTGAGAGAGAGGGAGAAGGGAGAGGTTCAGGCTGGATCAGAGGGCTGTCCGCTTTCTCATCCTCTGACCCAAACGACCAACAGGAAAGGAACGCAGAGAGAATTCCGAGACGAGCCGACGTGCGGCCAAAGGTTCGGTGCACGATCGAATCCCGAGAGGAACCCGGTGTCTCTCCGGGGCTCCTGCCTGGCGAGAAGGGGCGCCGGGTAAATGAAGTTGTCGGAGCCCTTCGCCAAAAGAAATCACAAGCAGAACGTGGGATGCTCCGTTCCGGTGCCTTGCGCCCGGATGTCAGTTGGACATTGTGTCCAGAGATTAGCTATTTCTGTTTTTTTAGCCGTTTTGCTTTCAACCGCTTGAAAAAACCTCAGCAGCAAACCAATGCAAATTTGAATGGCGAGGTATCAGATGCAAAGCGGTTGCTCTCTCCCCTGGGGTCCCGGCCAAATTCCCCTTCCCCAAGGAGCTGGACACTCAGGAATTTGCACCCGAGCTTGGGTGGGGGGGGGGGTGGGGTGGGAGGGGGAGGGGAGGGGGGAATCAGGAGGGGGTGGGAGGGCAGGGAGGGACGGGGTAGGAGATTGACCGAAGGTGCGGTGGAAGAGGAGGGTCTTGAAGGATTGAATGACTGGAACAGGGTCGCTAGGGCGGTTGAGGTAGTCGAGGTCAGGATAAGGGATGAGATCAGAAGGACCTGTTCCTCTCTCTCTCTCTCTCTCTCTCTCTCTTGGTGAATCGGGAGGCGCTGGGCGTGGGCCGAGGTTACACCACGTTTCTCACCTGCAGTTCCGTTAGCTTCTCCCACTTGGGGGTCACAAAGTACTTGATGCCATCGATGGCTCCCGGCAGCTGGACGTTGTTAATGAGGATGGCCAAGAGGACCACGTAAGGGAACAGGGACGTGAAGTACACGATCTGGGGAACAAGGCGAACAGCGAGTCCCAATCCACGTCGAACACGACGCCCAGCACTTGCACGGGGCTTCCCCTCGCGCCGAGGAGGGTCTCGCTTTGCGACAGCAATTAATCCTTAGCCTTTGATGCAGCGCCTTATCGCATCGTTCGGACTCGCAAAGCGCTTACACTGGACGTGTTGCCAAGCGGGTTGTCTGCGTGTTTTGGGCGGAGGTGGGTGGGGGGGTCGGGGTGGGGGGGGGGGTAGAGGGCGAAACGCGGCAGCCCGATTGCGCACAGCTGCGTCCCACGCACAAACTGTCGCGGCTTGAGTGGACTCTCCCGGGAAGCGGGTAAACCGAGGCGGGCGGGCGTGGGGAGTAAGGAAACTTGCCAAGGTCATGGCTCCCGCCCGGGAATCGGAGTGAGTTATCCGGCGGATACGAGCGCCAGGAGCTTACCTTCCCCGTCCACGAGACACCTTTAAATATACAAAAGTATATGATGACCCAGGCCAGGATCAGGAGCCCAAACAGCTCCCAGCGCACACCGCCCAGGCTCTCCAGACCCTCCGTCTTCTGGAGGACGTTGTAACTGGAGGGGAAAAGGCCAGACGCCATCAGCCCATCGCCGTCCTCTGCCACCGCAACCGCGCGCGAACCGTACGCGCGCCAGGCCCGGGAACCCGCCGCCACGCGACCACGCGCAGCCAGGCAGCCGCAGGTGGGCACGAGGCCGCACACGCAAGCGCGCGCGACCGCCCGCGAGCACGGAGAGACGCGCAAAGGCGCGCAGCCCCAAGTGGCGAGTGGACTGGTCAATCGTCTCCAATCAATCAATCAATCAATCACTCAACTCAACTCAACTCAACTCAACTCAACTCAACTCAACTCAACTCACTCGAAGAACTGCTGGCTGGCGGAGACGGTGGTGTTGCTGGTGGTGATGCTGTCCGTGCAGTTTTCCGGGATGTTCCAGGTGTTGTTGCAGCTCTGCCAGGGCAGAGGGTTCTGGAAGGAATTGATGAGGTAATAGAGCGCCCAAGTGATGATTAGGTTGTAATAAATGCTCATGATGAAGGAGATGGCGACACTGGCCATACCCACACCTGAGGGAAGGAGAGCACGCTTAACACCGACACACACACACGCACACTCACTCTCACACACGCACTTACACCCACTCACACCCGCCCACGCACGCACGCACACACCAAACACTTAACGCCTACTCTCACACACTCGCTGACGCACACTCACGCTTACACACACTCATTCACACCCTGAGGAGCTCTTTGATTAGCTCGTGCTCGTCCCACAAACAATGGCGGGTTGAGTGACCAAATTATTCACTATTTTATTGAAGGGATTATGAGCGATCTGCCAACCGGGTTCCTACTTATCGCTCGGTAAACAGAAGCGCGGGGAGTAAGGAAACTTACCTAAGGTTTCGCCCTGCCTGGCCGGGAATCGAACCCAGGTCCTCTCGCTCGTGAGGTGAGTGGCTCTCTAACCACTGAGCTACAGGTCTCCCCGCAAGGCATGTTTCCTTTTTGGTTCGAAAAACATATCGTTCAGGAAAAGTGCCCCGAACACGTTCTAGAAATCCGTTGCCTTTACTGCGTGAGCTGCTCTGCTTCTCCCAGTCTATGTGTGAAAATTAAAATCTCCCGTTGTAACCACATTGCCTTCGCTTCATGCTTCCCAGGTCTTTGCGTTTATGCATTCAACCCAACCCAACCCCCCACCCCCCCCCCCCACCACACATGCAACATCACCACTATCTGGAGATCTGCGGACAACCCCACCAGAGTCTTCGCTGTTCCTTAATTCTCCCCGTATCCCGACGTGAAAAGCGCTATATCAAATGCAAGGATTATTATTATTATTATTATTATTATCATTTCCACGGCCTGGCCACCCTTACCCTTTTCGTGATTATTTCCTATAACCTCTCTTTCTTCCGGGAGTGTTTGTGTTATCTGTGAGGTACTCTGATCTTTGCTCTCGTCGCTACTTCTTCTAATCTTTAGGTTACTGTTATTTCCATCCGAATCCTTTTACTGCTTTAAAGTCCTCGCTGCGCTAGTGGTACTGTAGTGCAAAGTATACACACACACACACGCACGCACGCACACACGTGCACGGGGCTGCCTGGCCTCGAGCTTAATGGTAAACCCTGGCTGATTTTATCAATGGAACGACCGTACCAACCTTTAAACAACGGACACACTTTGGCCAAGGCTTTGATCGGTCCGACTCTGAGATACTGTCCGATGGCGATTTCCATGTAGAGGAGCGGGATTCCCACCAGCACGAGCATGATGAGGAACGGGATGAGGAAGGCCCCTGGGAAGAGCGAGCACAGGCTGAACGCTCCTTCTCTCCGAACAGCAGTTACAGCGCATCGCGGCATTCGATACAAGCGCCTGGTCACGTCTTCGGGACGTCTCAGAGGGCTTCACGGGACACACCGTAAAGCGTAGCGACTGCGCATTTTGCGGGCGGAACACGGCAGCCAATTTCGCAGCTGGACAAACAGTCGTGGGTCTGAAGTGAGCGCCTCAGGAGATCTTTGACTCGCTCCCGAAAAGTCACAGACGAGACAGCGGTTTTTAGCGTCTCATTTGAAGGACGACCCCTCTGACACAGCTGGCTCCAAGGCCGGGATTGGAGTGTCAGGGCTCCGAGACGTTCCCCTAACGTGAAAGGGGCCGAGACACAGGCAAGTCGTCGGTGTCGTCATCGTTGCCGCGCGTGGCCAAACCCCTCACGTCAACCTACGACCTTTCGAGGGGAGAGTGCGACCAACCGAGTCGGCTCGACAGCCAAGAAAATACCCTCAGCGTCTCGGTCTGGAGTCGCGTGAGGGAGTGTGTGTGTGTCCGTGCGTGTGGGAGGGAGTGTGCGTGTGGGAGTGTGCGTGTGGGAGTGTGTACGTGTGTCTGTCGCGGCTAACTTCAACGGTCACTCAAACCTGGTTGCAAGCAAACCTCACAACGGTGGGGTTGGGGCTGGGGGAGAGGGGGAGTGTTTGTGTGTGTGGGGGTTGGGGGGGGGTGTGTGTGGCGTGTGTGTATATGAACGTGCCAAGGCATGCGTGTCGGTGAGGTTCAGCTGTGCCCACATCAATACCGAGAAAGCCATGCCTGGCACGGACCATCGAGTTGGGGACAAAGGACAAGGACACGAGACGACTTCTCGGTTAATGTTCAACTCGGTTAATTGGATCGGTAGGAATTGTGCTTCACCAAGTTGGATTGTGTTGCTTTTTAATCTCCTCCCCACACACGTCCCCCCCCCCCCCACCTCGCTCACGTTAAGCTCCTCGCTACACCCCCTCCGCCGCCCTCCACCCCCCCCCATTCCCTCCCCACCACCGCCCCACCATTGCAACCAGGTTTAAGTGACCATTGAAGTTCTCTGCGACAGACCTCACTCCCCGATTCATCCTCTATCTTATTTACTGCTTATATCAGTCTGGTCCAATGTTCCCGCTAAGGACTTTAGCCAAGCGAGGCTTCCCCTCGCGCTTAATCGGTTCCTCTATAATTGACCCTTGCCTTTGAAACAGAGCCTTATGATGTTGTCAAGATGCCTCTGAGCACACCACAGGCATTCGCTGTAATAATAATAATTAAGAATAACGCTAACTCCTTCACTTACGGGATCCAGCACAGTCACGCAGCACGGTTTAACATCTACAACCACGACAACTTGCACTTATGTAGCGCCCCCCTCGCGCAGGATAGCGTCCCAGAGCGCTTAATCCGAAGCCCACACCGTGTCGGCTCCGAGGCTTTGACGTGAGGGTTGGAACTCACGAGCCTCTTGACTCAAGAGGTGAGATAGCGAAACCTTTGGTGACTTGCGCACCCCAGCACCGGAACTCCCTGCCTCTAACCCCCACCCGCCACCCCTCCACCCCACTCGCCTCCTCTTTATCTGACTTTTAAACCCCACCCACGGTCACCTCCCTCCCCCTTCCCACTCGCTGTTGCCACTCGCTTAACTCCCCGAAGCTTACCCCCTCCGCTCCGGTAGCACAGGAAGGGAAACCGCCAGACGTTGCCGAGTCCCACCGAGTAGCCGATCGCGGCCAACGTGAACTCGATCTTCCGGGTCCACGTGGGTCTGGGGATCCCGCTCGCTTCCCCCTTCACATCGTCTCCCCCCACAACCCCGTGATCGCGAGGCAGGGCCGAGTCGCAGTCAACAGCGTGGTCTGAAGCTGAAACGTCTTTCATGGTCGACGCACAGTTGAGCTAAGAGAGCTCCGACACACACACAGACACAGACCAGCCGACACCCAGCCGACTCAGAAGGAACACCGGCAGACGGGAGACAGACACAAGCCAGCTGACGGTAGCATTATAAAGCGCAGAGCCAGTGGGAGAGCGGACGGGTGTCAATCATTACCCAGGCTCAGTTGAATGCTCTCCGTATTATTGGCTGCTTCACCAGCGCTGAAGTTAACAGAGGCTCCTTTCCGTCCTTCCCATTAGCCAAGCCTGGCTTCACGGAGCTTTGTTAGCGTAAGGGCCAAACCGCGCTCAGCCGTGTCTCGCAAACAGCTACGGCGCGAGTGAACCGTTTTATTCGGGCGGGGGGGGTGGTGGTGGGTTTGTCGGCCGGAATACAGGGAGAGAGAAACTCTCTTTTCTTTTGGAGTAGCGCCTCGGGATCTTTTAACGTCCACCTATCCTGCGTGGAGGGGGGGTGGCGGGGTGGGGGGGTGGGGTGGGTGTGGGGGCTATACAAGTGCAAGTTGTTGTTGTTGGTGGTGTTGTTGTCGTCGTCGTCGTCGTGCCCGTTCTTGTGGTAAAGTGGAAACGACAGCGCGGCCAATTTCAGCGCCAGACACAAGAATCCACAAGCTAAGCAGATCCGCCCGGCCGTTCAGTTACGAGAGAGAGCTACGTTTACCGACACTTGCGTCGAGTTTATCAATGGGAAAAAGCAGAGATTAACACGAGGGTAACTTTTTTTTTAAAATGCAGTTTAATTGAGAAAACATTGACAAAAGGGAAAGAACACTAAGTAATCCTTTGCTGAGTCTTGCCTCCTCCTGACCATCTGCTGGTTATTCAAGTGATAAATACCCACCCCAACCCTCCCCTCCCCTCCCCTCCCACCCATCTCCACTCACCCATAACAGGAACATAAACAAAGTGAAATAAAGGTTCATCTTCAACCCCCCCCCCCCACCCCCCAACCCCCCCACTCACAGTTAGTGAATGCTCCTTTTTGTAAAAAGTTTGTCACGTGTATACGCACAGAATTCAGGTGATCAATGACTCAAAAGCCATCTAATCTTAGCCCTTAAGACCACTTTATCTCACAGGTTAGGATTCATAATTATAGTAAGAATAAATAATAATAAATAATAAATAATAATAATAATAAAAATAATCATCGTTGCATTTGACACAGCGACTTATCTGGTCGAGCCTTCTCGAAACGCAAAAATAGCAGTTGTGGTGAAGTGTAATAAACCTAATAATAATAATAATAATAATAATAATTACCTTTCATTTGATATAGCGCCTTATCACATCGTTGAGACGTCTCAAGGCTCTTCCCAGAACATACTGCAAAGTAAATTGACTGTCTATTTTGTGGACGAAACGCAGCAGCCAATTGCCCGCAAACAGTCGAGGATTCGAGTCACCACTTTTTTTTTTGATTCTAGTTGGAATTTCGGGGCCACTGGGTGCGAAGAGCGGAATGTGGAGCCGTGAAAGGGCAGTGCAAGACTTTGCTTTATATACTATATATATATATTATATATAATATATATTGTACTGTATATTATAATGTTATATTTACACACACACAGATCCCGACAATTCAGAGAGCTCAGAAGGTAGAGACTTCATGCATTGTTGACTTACACGACAGCGCAGTTGTAAGCCGGTCGTAGTGTGAAACACAAGGTAATTGTGCGACGTTCACGTTGTGCTTGTAAGTGTGTGCGTGTGAGTGTGTTTGAGTGAGAGCGAGTGCGTGTGTGAGTGCGTGTATGAGTGTGTGTGTGTGTGTGTAAGTGAGTGAATGTGTGTGAGTGCGTGTATGAGTGCGCGTGCGCGCGTGCGTATGTGTGAGTGTTTGAGTGAGTGTGTTTGAGTGTGTGCGTGTGAGTGTGCGCGCGAGTGTTTGCACGAGTGTGCGCTCTCGCAAGTTCAGGGCAGTAAGAGCACGCAGGCCAGGCAAACTCCGTCATGCAGATCGAGTGAAATCCGTACAAAAAAAAAACAAACCAGAAAATTATTCAAGTTCCTATAAAGCGTACAAACATTCATTTACAAACGCTCGCTCAGCCTCGCCCGGGGGGGTGGGGTGGTGGTGGGGGGGGTTGCGGTTGGGTGAGGTGGGGGGGAGAGGGAGAGAGGTGGGGGGGGGAGTGGGGGGAGAGGAGGGGAGCGGTTGGGGTGTAAATAACTGCGGTTACAAAATAGTCATCGAAACATACAAAGGTGGTGTTAGTGCACGTGAGCAGTTCTGAAAGGGGGAAGAAGGAGCCGATTGATGAGCTTCGTCGAGCGATTGAATGGACGAGCGAGCGAGTGAGCAAGCGGCTTGCGACAAGGAATGTGACACCTTCCTGCCTCAGGAGCCAGGATCCCGTTGCTGTCCTCGGTCTCTCCCGTCCCCACGGTGGGGTTGTGACGGCGGGTGTCAGTCGCTGAGCACAGACCCCGGCAGCTCATTAGTCAGTGTGTGCCAGCGTTCAATCTTCCGGTCTTTGTTTTTCAGGCAATCGAACCAGTGCTTCAGCCTCTCGCCCTTGGCGTTGATTCCCAGTGTCACCCCGCCTGTAACAGGACAGTGGTCAGCCCTGGGGGTGGGGGGGGGGCGTGGGAGGAGGAGTGGCCGGGGTGGGGGTGGGGGGCACTGACACACACACAAATCCATCGCGGAGCCAAAACACTCCAGACCTGAGCGACTGATTTGGATTCGGGTGGTGGTGGTGGGGGGCGGGGGGGGGGGGCCAAGGTGAGGATGACCGAAGGTGCGGTCAAAGAGGAAGGAAGGTCTTGATGCGGGCAGTTAGATTATAGACGTTGTAGTTTAATGAGAATGAAACATTAAACAAATGTAGTACAGGAAATAGCGGCAGTCATGAGATAGGACACATTTGGTTTTCTCTGGAAAAGGGCAGAAGGTCACAACTTATCAGTAAATAACCGCAAACCCCACAGAGATAAAGGTCCAAGGTACCGGTCAACACAGGATCTCGACTTAGCAATAAGTCGCTAGATTCTGACAGGACCAAGCGACAAAAGGCAACCCTCAAGAATAGCAACTAATGAGCAAGTTATTTGAACTGGAGGACCTTGGTACCATCCCGGGATACCGATAAGAAATAAGCAGTCACTTAAATGGAATGTCCTAATGATCCCACACAACAAAATAACAAGCGCCAGATACAGCCCTTAACTGATCAATCTCCTATCTTAGTCAGGGCGAAGGGAAGACCTCGGTCAGGCTGGCGAAACGGTTGATTAACCTGAGTACGTGACTGTATCAGGAGGGGGTAGAGGGGCCACGGGAAGGACACTTGGAGAAAGGGTATAACTATTGCACTTCTAGGTGAGAACGGTTAGAAGAACAGGAAGGCTCCAGAGAGAGAGAGAGAGAGAGAGAGAGACGAGTGTGGAGAGGTCCCTTTAAGCATTGCACGATGTGTGACTGTCTACGCAGACGGGTGATATAATTTGTTAGACATTTGTAGTACCTCGTTAATGCATGTTGTGTTCACTCTGGTCATCATAAACCTCGCTGCACCACATTTGGATTGTCGAGTTATATTTCGAACTATGGGATTGGAAATCCCAACAGGGCCTTGAAGGGGAGGCGAGGCGAGGGGAGGGGAGACGAGGGGAGACGAGGGAGGGGAGTGAGGCAGAGGGGCTACGGGATGGAGTTCCAGAGGAAGGTGGGGGCAGAAAGGCTGAAGGCCTGACCATCAATGGCGGTGTGGGCAGGGCGGGGGAGGGGAGGGGATGGGTGGGGGTGCGTGCAGCCGTCCGATAAAGTCACTCACCGATAAAGTCATTTGATTTGCCGATGTCATAATCCCAGACCGTGACCTCCAGGGTTTTTTTGGCCAGGTCGCCTTGTTTGATGTCGTAGAAAAACTCCTGCCGTGAATTGGAGAAGACATTTATCGCCCGGGATCGATATTGCGATCCACACCGTCACCTGCAAAGTTCCCTCACACCCAACACCCACTCACCCACCCCCCCACCAGCACTGCACTGGAGCATCAGCCTCGGCCGTGAGCTCAAAGTCCCCGACGTGGGGTTTAGGTCCTAGAAAAGCGACCCACAGAGCTACAGAGGCTGAGAACCCAATAAAGCACAAAGCAGTCACTTAAACTGATCCCCCGTACCCCCAACCCCGCTCCCCGCGCACACGCACACACACACACACAATAATATTCCACCTCATTAAACTCCGGGTTCAGCGTTTTCTTCTTGACAGCAGTCTTGTGCTTTGACTTCTTGTCCACGTCCGGCTTCAAGTAGCTGGGAAATGAACAGGGATAAGGATGACGGGCGGGACAGAGAGAGAGAGAAACTCTCCTCTCTTTTCTAACTGCGCTGCGGGATCTTTCACGTCCGCCCGAACGGGGCGCAGAAAGACGAGACGGATTTCTCAAAGCACTCCCTACGTTACTGCAGTCAAGCGGAGTGTAGTGACTGCGTGTTTTAGGTTAACGCCCGTTTGTGCACAGCAACGTGCCCACAAGTAGCAGGCGGGCAGACGGATGGGGAGCTCGGTTTAACGTCAATCCGGAAATCCAGTTGGGATATAAGGGCCGGTGCCCAAACCCATTCCCGTTCCTTGTCCTGTAGCTCAGTGGTTAGAGCACTCACTTTTCAAGCGAGAGACCTGAGTTCAGTTCCAGGCAGAGGGCGAAACCTCGGGCAAGTTTCCTTACTCCACACAGAGCCTAATAATAATCCCTCCAAAACCAAAAACAATAATAAATTGGTCATTTTCAATCCATGACTGTTTGTGGGACATTGCTGTGCGCAATTGGCTGTCCACTCCCTCCGACACTGACCTGCTCCATACCCGCCACCACCCCCAACCCCGCCAAGCCCACCATCGGCAGTCAGGCATTCAGCCGTCCTGCCCCGACCACCTGGAACTCCATCCCGGAGCCCTTCCACCTCACTCCACACCCCTAATAATAATCCCTCCAAAACCAAAAACAATAATAAATCGGTCATTTTCAATCTACGACACTTTGTGGGACATTACTGTGCGCAATTGGCTGCCGCGTTCGTCCACAAATATACAGTCAATTCACTTTACAGTGTGTTCTGTGAAGCGCTTTGGGACGTCCTCCCGACGTGAAAAGCGCTATATCAAATGGAAGGATTATTATTATTATTATTATTATTGTGCGTGTTTCAGCTTCACTGTTAAACTATCGACAGTAGAGGTCGCTGATGTGTAAGAATGTCGCTGTCAGAGCTTATTGAAAGAGAAGGGGATAACGATTACCTTTCTCGGATTTCTGCCTCCCCAGGGCATGGTTCTGTAGTCACGGGCAAGTAACTCCTTTACCGATTCCCCTACCCTATCGCTCCCCCCGCAAACCTTTTCTTTTTCAAAATACCTGCTGTCCAATTCCCTCTTGAAAGCTACTCTCGAATCTGCTTCCATCAGCCTTTCGGGCCGTGCGTTCCAGACCGTAACCACTCTCCGTGTCAGACAAAAAAAAAAAATTTCTCTCTCCTGGAATCAGCCGAAGTCTGTCCCTCACTCAAGTCTTCAGTAATTAGAGCGAGGAACGCAGCGAGGCTTTAATTGAAAATAAGCAATTAAACCAATTTAGGAACAAGGGATGGAATGGACGCATCTGATCTCATTCGCTGTCTTCTAATTAGTCTAGAATTTCAGCTTCTTTATCTTGACTTATCCTGGCAAATCCCGAGCCACCAGACAGCAGGAGCCTGTCACTCACTGTCCCCGTGTGTTTGTCACATCCCGGATGGCACTCTGAGTTTCGGCACAGCTTCCCCCACCCCCCCCCCGGCCCACTCACCCCCCCCCCCACCACCGCACTCACACCCGGCCATCGAATCCGGGCGTGAGGATCGTGCGTTCGAGCTCTCTGCACGAGACGTTAAACCGAGCTCCCGGTCTAATGGACGTCAAAGAACCTGACTCTATTTGCGGCGTCCGGTGGCTAAGTGGTTAGTGTGCTCGCCCCTCAAGCGAGAGGACCCGGGTTCGATTCCTGGGCCAGGCGAAACCTTACTCCACACACACACGCCTCTGTTTACCCAGCAGTAAGTCGGAACCCGGTTGTTAGTCGTTTTCCAGGAGGTCAGAATCCTCCCCCGAACCCACACAAAAAAATTTGTTCGCTCAGTCTACAAACTGCTGCGCGCAATTGGCTGCCACGTTTCTCCCGCAAAATAGACAGTCGCTCCACTTTTACGGTATATCCTGTGAAGCGCTTTGAGACGTCTTAACGATGCGATAAGGCGCTGTATCAAACGCAAGGATTATTATTCTTATTGCTGATGGCAAGGCAGAGCGAGCACGCACTGTAAATTAATACCATTGGCTGGCTGGCTCGAGATTCCTTCCCAATAAATCTCTCAAAGGTCTGGCCAGCTATTCATACAGACGCTAACTAACACCCCCCACGGACGTATTTCTGCAAACAAACGAGTTCCTTCACTGCAAATAACTTAGCGGCAATTAATCTCCAAGGTTTCCCTCCAGCACATCAGTCACCCCCAGAAAAATGACCCTAAATTATGTCCGGGCAGATTAGGACGCAGATTGGCGATGAAAGTTGCCAGCGACAAAATGCTGAGACGTCACAAGCCGAGGACTGAGTTTGTCAATCCTGACCTACAAGTTGCGTTCGCGCTGCGCCTTTCGTATCGGGAGGACGACCCCAAGCGCCGTCTTAGCGCTGTTTGTGGGGACGCTTCTGTGCGCAATCGTCTGCCGCGTTTCGCCCACAAAATACACGGTCAATCCGCTTTACAGTCCTAGCCGGCGAAGCGCTTTGAGACGTCTCAACGACGCGTTAAGGTGCTGTATCAAATGGGAGGATTATTGTTATTATTAATATTATTATTATTATCGGTTGGGCACCAGAGCTGAGGGTGGGCACCAGAGCTGAGGGTGGGCACCGGAGCTGAGGGTGGGCACCGGAGCTGAGGGTGGGCACCGGAGCTGAGGGTGGGCACTGGAGCTGAGGGTGGGCACCGGAGCTGAGGGTGGGCACCGGAGCTGAGGGTGGGCACCGGAGCTGAGGGTGGGCACCGGAGCTGAGGGTGGGCACCGGAGCTGAGGGTGGCACCGGAGCTGAGGGTGGGCACCGGAGCTGAGGGTGGGCACCGGAGCTGAGGGTGGGCACCGGAGCTGAGGGTGGGCACCGGAGCTGAGGGTGGGCACCGGAGCTGAGGGTGGGCACCGGAGCTGAGGGTGGGCACCGGAGCTGAAGGTGGGCACAGACACAGAGCTCTGTTTAACACCTCACACGAAGGACGGCATTTCTGACAACGTATTATAATAATAATAATACTCTCATTCGATACAGCGCCTTATCGCGACTTCGAGACGTCTCAAAGGGGCTTCACAGGATCCACCGCGAAGCCAATTGACCGTATATCCTATGGGGAGGAAACGTGTGCGCATTTGTGTGCGCGTACCTGTGCGAGCGCGCCCAGGGTCAGCCTGTGTTTGAGTTCCCCGAAACACTTGCCCGCGGGGTGCAGTGGGGGGGAAGAGAGAGAGAGAGAGAGAGAGAGAGAGGGGGTGCTGCCCCACGCTATGGTTCAGCGTGGGGGCTGCGACGTTTACCTACGTTTTGACGTAAGGGTCCGAGTAACCGTTGGCGTCCATGGCCGCCAGGTGTGCGCAGCGTGAGATCCCGACCACCAGCCCCATCTTCTGCGAGCTGTACTTGAGGGAGATGAGGATTCGGCCACGTTCCTCCAGCGACCTGTCCTCTGTTTTGTCTACCTGCGGTGGGAGGAGCGAGACAAGACATTTGAATCATTTGCTCCTCCACTACAAGCTCTCTCTCTCTCTCCCTCTCCCCTCCCTCCTTCCCTCTCTCACTCCCCGAACGGGGAAGAAAAATCACGTCGAAACAAAACAAGAGGCCGACCCTGGATTTAATGTCTCCATCCGAAGGACGGCAACTCCGACAACGAAGCACGTCCCCCAGCACTGGGCTGTGGACAAGTCCGAGTGTGAGCGAGAGAGAGTGAGATGTGTGAGAGAGAGAGAGAGAGAGTGTACGAGGGAGAAAGAGTGTGAGAGGGAGTGAGCGAGAGCGTGTGAGAGTGTGCGCGGGAGAGAGTGTGGGAGAGTGAGAGAGAGAAAGAGCGAGAGCGTGAGAGTGTGAGATAGAGAGAGAGAGAGAGAGAGAGCGAGAGCGAGTGTCTGGCTCTCTGCCCTCACCGGCAGCTGTTTCTCCAAGCAGATGTTGAAGTTTTTGGTTTGATTCGGCTTCAGTTTTTTCAGGGGGATTCTGGTCTCTCCGATGAACTCATTGTGGCGGAATTTATCCTCGTCGCACACCGAGATTCTGTAAGAGCAGAGAGCACAGGCATCAGGCACATACACACGCACACGCGCACACACGCACACACACCATGTGGAGTCCTGTAGCTCAATGGCTAGAGAGCTCGTCTCGCAAGCGAGAAGACCCAGGTTCGATTCCCGGGCAGAGCGAAACATTAGACAAGTTTCCTTACTCCACACACAGGCCTCTGTTTACCCGGCAGTAAATGGGAACCCAGTTATTAGTCGATCGGCGGATCTCTTTTCCGGGGGCAATGATCCCTCAATCCACGTCCGTTTGCGGGACTCCGCTGTGCGCAATTGGCTGCCGCGTTTTGCCCACAAACTACGCAGTCACTGCACTTTACAATATATTCTGTGAAGCGCTACGAGAGAGGGAGGGAGGGGGGAGAGGAGGGGAAAGAGGGAGGGAGAGAGGAAGTGGGGGAGATAGAGAGTGAAGGAGGGAGGGAGGGAGGGAGGGAGGGAGAGACGAAAGGAGAGAAGGAGGGTCGGAGCGAGATGGGGGGGGGGGAGAGAAGCAAAGGCGAGACAGCTTTAATCCCTCTCTCTGTCCAGCGTAAATTGGAAATCCACAACACGGCGGGTGAGAGATTGCTTGCTCCACACATCGCTGACTCCCCAGATCCAATGGACCGAGGGATGATTAACATTTTCCTGGATACTCTGTCTCTCTCCTTTTCTCTTAATTAATCTCACATTGAATGCGGCAAACACACACAGTTCGCTCCAGAAAAAGAAACACAAGAGAGCACATTAGTGTGTGTTCGAACATCTGCGACACATCTGTCAGTCCAGGAACCTGTCCAAATCAGCCCGAGCCCCAGCCCCAACCATGCACCGCTTCCGGGCTTCAGGCAATCCTAATCATGTTTCCACCCTCCAGCACCCCCCCCACCCCGTAAATATTTATTATTATTGATGGGAACAATGATAATGGAGAGAGAGAGAGAGAGAGAGAGAGGGTGGGGGGGAGAAAGAGGGAGGAGGGAGGCGAGAGATGGAATGGGAAAAAGAGGGAGAGAGAGAGAGAGGCAGAGGAAGGACAACTGAGAGGGAGACGCGGGGGATAAGAAAGACTCCCAGCCCTCATCATCCTTCAACTCTTGAGTCAGTTTCCACCCCCCCCCACCCCCACCCCCACCCCCAACGTCTACTGCTGAGACATCTGGGAGTCAGCGCTGGAGAGAACAGAGCCTGAACTAATTGTTTCCCGCCAGAGCGACAGAGAGAAAGCATGTAACATTCATGAATTCATGAAACCGTTCCTCAAGGCCAGGCTCGATCGTTGAGCATCTTAAATGAGGTGAGAATGTTTAAGAAACCATAGAAACGGCCAACACGGCAGGAGCCCAATGTACCAGCCTCGGTCTCCGCTCTCTTCTGAGAAAACTCAACCTCCTGATCCCCGGAACCTATTGGAAAAGAGAGGGAAAGAGGGAGGGAGAGGGAGGGAGGGAGGGAGAGAGAGAGGATGGGAAAGAGAGAGGATGGAGGATGGGAGGGAAGGAGAGAGGGAGGTAGGAAAGAGAAAGAGAGAGAGAGAGAGAGATAGAGAGTTTTTCTCTCTCTTTCTCTCTCCGCAGGTCCTGGCTGACAATCCCCCTGACCTCCCTCCCTCCCTCCCGACCCAATATAGAATTGGTCGTTCGTGTCGTAGTGGTTTGCCTACAAAATATCACGTGAGGGCTGGCTGGAAGGGAGCTTCTCTCTCTCTCTCTCTCTCGGTGTCCTGGCCCCAAAATCCCTCCCGCAAATAAAAATTGGTCACTCACTCCGCGGCTGTTTGTGGGACATTGCTCTGTGCTGCTACATTTTGCCCACAAAATACAGTCATCGCACTGTACAGTATAGCGCTTTGAAGCGCTTTGAGACGTCTCAACGACGTGATATATCAAATGCAAGGATTATTGTTGTCGATTAGCTCCCAGCTGTGGCCAAAATCAGTTCGTCTCGATCTCTGCTCGGTCATCAGGGGAGGGGAAGCGTAGTGACTGCGTGTTTTTTTTACATAGGCGAACGAAGCAGCCCATTGGCACAGAGCGATGTACCCCAAACAGCCTCCGTGTGAGTGACCAATTTTATTCGGGGGGGAATGTCGGCCAGGACACCAGGAGAGAGAGAGAGAGAGAGAGAGAGAGAGAGAAACTCCCTTCTCTTTTTTCGAGTGGAGCCAAGGGATAGACGGGGTGGGAAATGAGGTTAAAGTCTCATCAGAAGGATGAAATCTCTGACAATGCGGCGTTTTCTCTCTCTCTCTCTCTCCCCCCACACCCCCCAGCCCTGCACTGATGCGTCAGCCTTGACGGTGAGCTCAAAGCCCCCACCCAACGTGGGGCTCAAACCCACAACCTTCTGATCTGTGGCGGACGGAGTTGGGGAGGGGGGAGAGAGGAGGAGGTTGATCTGATCAAAGGTGAGAGCTCTCAAGAGATGCACGATGAAAACATTTTTCCATTACAGTCGGGCTGGTTCGGTGATGAACTGAGATCAGACGTCCCTGAACACCATCTCTACCTCACAAAAAATTCCTCCCCTCCCCCTGAGCCATCGTGATTTCAATTCCCTTCCCCCGACCGTCTCGGAGGGAGAATGTCAATATGCTCAAGAGTTTTGCTGCTTTTGATGTGGGTCAACACGTAGCCTCTCTCGTCTGGGTTCATTCGTTCAACACAAGAGCTCGGTATCTGCCAGAGAGCCAGAGAGAGAGAGGGAGAGAGACAGCGGGAGAGAGAGAGAGAGCAAAACATAGAGAGAAACACAGACCAGACAGACAGACAGACAGAGAGAGAGAGAGAGAGAAAGAGAGACAGATATTGGGAGACAGACAAAGAGAGATGCAGAGAGAGCGAGACAGACAGAGACAGAAAGAGAAACAGAGAGCGAGACAGACAGAGACAGAAAGAGAAACAGAGAGCGAGACAGACAGACGACAGAGAGAGAAAGAGGAATCTTTGCTCCTGCGATCAGGAGCTGCAATTGAATCTGCGCCAGAGATGAGAAGACGTTGCCTTCCTTGCCTGTGCGGAAGGCTGTATATTTTGGATCGGCCGTGTGATGTGAAACCCACCGACAACAAACAGCGACTGGTGCCCTACACGCAGTGCCCTTCGCGTCGCGTAGCCTCTCGGAGCCCCCCGAGAACCATCGCTGGGCTTGAGAGCAATCGAAAGGGAACTGCTTCTCGAGCCTGGGTTGCAGGCTGTCGATTGCCCCGCTCTGGGCCAAGCAACTCCGCTCCAGCCCGGATCAGCGGCGGAGAATCAGCGTGAGCCCAGCCTGGCGTCGGCAGCTTTGCCAGACTCTTAAGCTAATAAGCTAAGCTCGTCTCCTCCAACAAGGCTTGTGTCTCTTGTCAACCACCCCACCCCACCCCACCCCCTCAACACCACCCGCCCGACCCCCCATCCCCTCCGGTCCACAATCTTCCAGCCCCCGGCGTCCCCGAATCTCTTGTCACTCCCTGTCCTCGATCCCACCCCACCCCTCCACCCCCCCCAACTCACTCTAATCATTCTTCCACCCTCCCGCCCTCCCCCCTTTCCATTTTTGCGGTACTTTCCGGGCGAGGGATGCTGTCTAGGTTGCAAGTTGCTGTTGCTGTTGACGTCGACGTCAGCCTCTCTGACTTCACCGGGACACTAAAGCCCCGGCTGCCTCGGAAACGATGATGAGGAGAGTTCTCGAGTTCTTAAGTCTCTCAGCAGCAAGAGCACGTCTCTTGCTCCCCCGTGGGGCTGGGAGTCAGGTAAAGCTCACTCCCTGCGGTGGCCTGTTAATTGCTTCTCTGGTTGCAAAAACATTAGCTGTAAGATGCGAGAGCGGGGCACAAGCATGGAGATAAAAGGATGAGAAGGAGTGGGGGGGAAGCGGGGGGGGGTGCGGGGGGGGGGGGGAGAGGAGAGGAGCTTTTGCACTACTCTCTTAACTTCGCTCATGTCTCCACCTGCTTGTTGTTTTGCTTCCCTACCCCCCCCCCCCGCCCCCCCCCCCCCACCGCGCCACACCCCACCCCAGCAACTCCTCGCTACCCGCCAATGTTCCGTCCTGACTGATTGCAATGATACCTCTAATAATAACAAGAAGAATCATACCACCTGCATTTGGTATGGCTCCTCCTCGCGTCTTCAAGACGTCCCTCGAAAGCGCTTCACGGGACTTAACTGCGAAACGGAGTGACTGCGTGTTTCGTAGGCGAAACGCGGCAGCACAATTGCGCGCAGCAGTGTCCCGCGCATAGCCGCGGAGCGAGCGAGCGAGCGAGCAGGTTTATTTGACCAGATTTATGTTGTGTTTCGGAGTGATCACTTGCTGGGTGTTGCTGCTAGAGAAGAAGGCAGTCACAGACTTGCTAAAGTATTTATAGCAATTGTGCCCAATGCTGTCAAACCATCTCAGAAGAATCACAGCGTTGTCGATATCAGTTACCGTAATGTCTGGCTCTTGTAAATCAGCAGAACATTTGGTCCCCGGTGCCCGCAAATTCACATATTACTTTCCTTCCATTTTCACTTCAATAGATCACAGGCGGTGAATCACTCGGAGACTTTTATGAACTCGCGTAAATCCCATTTCGCTGTCACTTTAATCACAGACACACACACACACACAACGCACACACACACACAGACCTCCACCACACACACATATAAACAGACGACCCCCCCCCCCCACCCACCTACACACACACGCGCAAACCACGCTCACACAAGACCTGTTGGGACGTGGGCATGAGGCGTGACATTTGACATAACTCATACTTTGCATGAGTCATATTAAATGGACGATCCAAACTGATATGACCTTATGTGAGGTTTACTGTCGATATAAATAAAAAAAAGAGGAATCCTGACCTTACCTCAAAGTCTTCCTGACCATATCCTCGTCTGTGATGCCGTAATAGGTCAGGGTCTCGTTCCACACGGGGTTCAGAGTGTTTCGCAGAGTCTTGGTGCGGAGTTTGTTGGCCTGGAAACAGAACCCCAAAACCCCCGTCAACAACAACAACTTGGGTATTTAGCAGCGCCCTTCAGCTCAGTGGTTAGAGCACTGCTTGCGAGCGGAACCGAGTTCAATACAGAGGCGAAACTGGGCAAGTTCCTTATCACACAGAGCTAATAATAATCCCAAAACAAAAAAAATAATTGGTCATTTTCAATCTACGACTGTTTGTGGACATTGCTGTGCGCAATTGGCTGCCGCGTTGCCACAAATATACAGTCAATCACTTTACAGTGTTTCTGTGAAGCGCTTTGGATCTCCGACGTGAAAGCCTATATCAAATGCAAGGATTATTATTATTATTATTATAGCCTCAAAACCGGTCAGCGGGAATACCTGGTAGAGACAGAATCCATTGCGGGTTTCCAAGAGGGAAGGATAGAGGCTTGGCAGGTGGGGAGGTGGTGCGGGGCAGAGCGGGGATGTGTGGGTTGAATTGAACATTGAACTCCTCGAGGGAATATTACCCCTCGAAAGCGATCCGCCAGCCGACTAACAACCCGGTTCCTATTTACTGCTGGGTAAACAGAGGCGTGGGCGCGCGCGGAGTAAGGAAACTTGCCTGAGGTTTCGCTCCGCCCGGGAATCGAACCCGGGTCCTCTCGCTTGCGAGGCGAGCTCGCTAACGGCTACGCCACGGTATGCGTTTTGCCGCAAGGTCAGTGATTCTAAGGGTCTCGCGGAGGCTGAGGACGGTCGGAATTTCGAGCCACCAGCAAACAGCCTCAAAAATGCAAATGTTTCCCGACAATGATAAACAGCTCCACACCAAAATGTCAAAGTCTCCCAACAGCCTGAGGTACAAATTGAACCTTTGCCTGTGAGAATCTCTGCATAATGTCTGGGATTAATTGTGAGAAATGTTTTTTTTTAAATTTAGCAGCAAAGCACGTAGGCACTTACACACGCAGCGATACTTTAACACCTCCTTTTACATAGTGTGCACGTTGCCATCAAGCCCTCCGCCAGGTCAGAACGTGGCGTCTCTTTAAAAACTTAAATCCTTCCTCGCACGCGCTTCTGTCCGCGGGTGCCAAACCCCGCCGCGAGGGTGAGATCGCACGTGTCCTCTCCACGCACACACGGACGCACGTGTGTGTATGTGTGTGTGTTATGTCCTACTAAAACACTACTGACCTGTCCACTCCCTCCGACACTGACCTGCTCCATATCCCCCCCCACCCCCAACCCCGCCAGGCCCACCATCGGCAGTCAAGCATTCAGCCGTCCTGCCCCGACCCCCTGGAACTCCATCCCGGAGCCCTTCCACCTCACTCCACACCCCTAATAATAATCCCTCCAAAGCCAAAAACAATAATAAATCGGTCATTTTCAATCTACGACACCTTGTGGGACATTACTGTGCGCAATTGGCTGCCGCGTTCGCCCACAAATATACAGTCAATTCACTTTACAGTGTGTTCTGTGAAGCGCTTTGGGATGTCCTCCCGACGTGAAAAGCTCTATATCAAATGCAAGGATTATTATTATTGTTATTATAGTGCCTTGGGACGTCCTTCCACTGAACGATTACGAGGGATGGGTTTAGTGGAATGCGGAATGCATCACACAGCTGCGAAGTAACATAAATTTACTCAGGCGTTTTCTTCATGGTGTAATTTGCATTTTTTTTTAAAATTAACTGGCAAGGGAATGTCTCGCTGACAGTGATACAGATACAGAAATTATTCACAGCTCAATGCACGGGAAGCTGCAGGTTATTACACACACAGGGCAACTCATTACATGAAACTGGCTGCCGTGTTTTGCCCCCCAACCCCCACAAAATCCTGTGAAGCGCTTTGAGATGTCGTCCTGATGTGATAAGGCCCCACATCAAATACAACGGCTATTATTGAAGTGATTAATAACCCGATTTACAGTGGATCCTGTGAAGCGCTTTGAGGCGTCTCGACGATGTGATAGGGAGCTACGTCAAACGCAAGGATTATTACTATCATTATAATTATTATTATACTTAAGGCAGAGACAGAAAGAGAAAGGTATGAGAGTAAATACCTCCAATGGGGCAGTCTAGATTGACATACAACTCAGCTCAGCCTCGATGAGCTGAACTGTGGCGCTCTTTGAGACGTTATCCAATCGTCTGTTTGCCATCCAATTAACATTTCGTTTTGTTCAACTAAAAGTGGAGATAAGATTCCTGGAAACCCTCTCCATCTGCCGGGAAGTCGGCCAATCCTCTCGCTCCCGTAGTTGGTAACTGGAGAGACTGTGATTCTCTGTTAATATCGGTGATGTTCGTCTTTGTCGACCGCTAACATTTTCTAACGCTTCGCGGGCGAACCAGAGTTCGATCACGAGAATAATAATCTCTGTATTCCGTGCAGAGCCTTATCACATCGGGTGGGGGTGGAGGGAACAGGATTTGCCGTGAAGTGCAGCGACTGTGTTTTGCGGGCAGTCGATTTGCGAAAGGATGGTTAGTGCTCCTGCCCCTCAATGTGACTCCGCAACCTGCCTTCAGTCGCTCTCCATCAACCAGACAAGGGTTTAATAGAACTGCTGAGAGCTCTGACAATAAGATTGAGCGCAGCCAGTCAACGACGCCCAGACTGTACCTGAGCAATACACCGGGCAGCCCTGAAACAGGAACTAAAGGAGGGGCTGGTGACAAGATTGAGGGGGACATCGATTTGAGAAAAGAGTTGGCTGCGGTCCACCTCGATTCACGGAATGAAAGCTCGTCACCCCCCACCCCCGCCTGGATCCCTCCCCACTCCCCATTGAATCTGTCCTTCTGATGTGAGAGGTGCTATGCAACAGTAAATTTGTTGTTGTTGTTGATTCAGTTGGATTAAAGGAAATAGGGAACGGATGGGTGGGTGGGGGTTAAGGAGGTCATGTGTGGTGGTGGGTGTAGGTGTGGGGTTGGGCTTGGGGTGGGGAATGGGGTGAAGCGAGGCTGCCGAGGAGGTTTGAAGGTGGTTCAGTCTGATCGTCACTCACCTTACTGGCTCCGGGAAGCAAGTGGAGCTTGACGTAGGGATCAGCCAGGCCGTTGTGATCCATTGGCTTGAGACCCTTCAGGAGAAACAGAGAGAGAGAGAGAGAGAGTGTGAGAGGGAGAGAGAAAGAAAGAGACCAGGTCACTATCAGTGCCACGAACTGAAACCTCTCCCCCCCCCCCCCCCCCAGGCCATTTCCGTGACTTCACTCTGCGAATATAACAACAATAATAATCCTTGCATTTGATAACAGTGTGTTTCACGCGATATTCAAATATCAAAATGCCAGGTTGATGATGAAGATGATTATTGTTATTCTAAGTGTAGTGACTGCGTGTATTTTGCGAGCGAACGCGGCAGCCAATTACTCGGGGCTGCGTCTCAGAGCGCTTCGCAGCGGCGGAGCCTGGCGGAGGGAGGGAAGGAGGTGACCGTCAGCGCGATCGAAGAGGAAGGTCTTCACGGCGGCCTCTAAAAAGAGGGGAGGGAGGTGGGCGAGGCGGAGGGATCGAGGGAGAGAGTTCCAAAGTTTCGACGGGGCGCAGTGGCCGAAAGCGCAAGCCGTCGGTGGTGGAGCAGAGGGGGCGAGGGCCGAGCAGGAGGTTGGAGCCAGTCAAGCGGAGGTGGCGGTTGGCGGAGGGGTGGTGGGGGAACGGGTGGGGAGTAAGCAGGTAGGGAGGTGCCAGGGTGTGAAGGGATTTGTGGGCGAGTGAGAGGATCTTGAAATCAATCCATCCTGCGATAGGGAGCCAGTGGAGCCTGGCAAGTTCCGGTGTGATGGGGGTAAGGCGCGTGATGGTGAAAGGGCAATTTGGTCTGTGGGGTGATTGCCAGCCAAGAAACTCCCCGTTCTCTGGGATCACTCATCAGGTCGGGCAGCGTCTCACTTCCCCCTCTCCACAGACGCTGCCCGACCTGCTGAGCGTTCCCAGCGACTTCTGTTTTCTTTCTGCTCCGGATTTCCAGCATCTGCGGCATTGCGCGCTTGGGGCTCCCTTTTCTCTTCGGACGGCGTACGCGGGGAACGTGAGCGCGAAAAAGCGTCCGTCTGAGCAGAGAGCCGGTGGATTGTTTGAGCCCGAGTCCTTTTGTCAGTGTCTGATTGAGTCACTCTCTTTGCGGTTCTGGACAAAAGGAAAAATGTCAACACAGGTGGGCTTCCTCAATCAGGAGGTCCTGGTGAAAACGGGCCCCGTACTGTCCAGCCAGTAAACAAACCAGAGGAGATGCCTCCCCCTCTCTCTCTTTCTCTCTCTATTCTCTGCGTTATTGTCCGCCCTGTGATTCACCCGGAGGAAACCTCATTCACCCGCAGGATCGCGGTGTAATTTCAGCCACGGGAATCGAATGAGACAAACAGAGGGGCGGTCAAACCCATAGGCTGCACACTGGCTCGCGAACTCGCTCCCGTCGTGGCTGTTCACGAATCCGAATGGGATTTTCTACATCCAACGTCAGGGGACTTTACAAACTCACACGGTCCTGGCTGGCGATTAATCCTTTTGCCTCCCTCCACTTCTTGCCCATCACCGCCGCCGCCACCACCACCACTGCCTCCTCCAGTTGGATCGCCCGTCCCTCCCCATTTCATACAGCGCCTTATCGCGGCCTCGAGACGTCTCAAAGCGCTTCACAGAATCTACCGCAAAGTGCAGTGACTGTGTGTTTTGTGGACGAAAGGCGATAGCCAACGGCGCACAGCGGTGTCCCTCGGACAGTCGTGTTTTTTTTAAAAAAAAATAATTTTATCTATTTATTTTGTTCAGAATCCCTGCGAGCGATACAGCGCCTTCTCACGTCGTTGAGACGTCTCAAAGCGCTTCACAGGATATACTGTAGAGTGGCACACAAAAGACACACACTGTCCTCAGCAACAACAGCTTGTGTTTACATAGCACCCTTCGTGTGGAATAGCGCCTCAGGGCGCTTAATGCAATCGGAACCTGATGTCGAGATCATACAAAACCAAAAACAATAATAAATTGGTCATTTTCAATCTACGACTGTTTGTCTGCCGCGTTCGCCCACAAATATTCAGTCAATTCACTTTACTGTGTGTTCTGTGAAGCGCTTTGGGACGTCCTCCCGACGTGAAAAGCGCTATATCAAATGCAAGGATTATTATTATTATTATTATTACAGTCAGAGCCACTTTACAGTACATCCTGTGAAGCGTTTTGAGCTACATCACATGCAAGGATTATTAAGATGATTATGATTATTATTATTATTATTGATTCATTTGCAATCCCATCACATCTCGCCTTGCCACCACCTACAGGGATCGACCTCAATTTAACAGGTGACCAAATCGTGCCTTTTCCAGTTGAATAATTTTCCCGGGGAATGGCGGAGTCAAACCAACCAGAGGTCGGCCGTCCTCCTAATATTAATTTTGTTTATTGCTTTCCCACATCTCAAACAAACGGGAGCAGAAACGAGGCTGTTTTATCCTTTTTTATCAAAACTAAAACAAACAAACCTCACTGAACATATTTATGTGTAGACATGATATTACCTCTGACTGACGGGCTGGCTAGTTGTGGCGAATGACAACAGCGATGATAATAATAATCATAATAATCATCCTTGCATTTGATATCGCGCCTTGTCACCTCTTCGATACGTCTCGAAGCTTCACACAATATACTGTAAAGTGAATTGACTGTGTATTTTGTGATCATTTGCTTTTAGGCAGCACCGGTTTAAGACTAAGACTTTACAGTGTGAAGCGCTGCGAGACGTCTTGACGACAAAATCCAAGGATCATTATCATTACTATGTATAACAATATTATTAATATCTACTGGTTACAGTAATAACTACCGGGCGACAACAGCATTAACCAATTAACCAGGTCTAACTAACAGTGTCTCTTCGGGGACGGAGTGTGAGGAGTGCATCGGGTGACCGGCGAGGCTAATCCGGGTTTCACTAAGGGGGAGTATGGAGGTGTTTGGGTGGGTGTGAGGGGTGGGGAGGGGAGGTTACTCTTACCTTCCTGTACCTAGGCTTTGGCACCTGTCCCCAGTAATGGCATGCAGTGAGCGAGAGAGAGAGAGAGAGAGAGAGAGAGACGCGGCAGTTGGGAAACAAAGAGAAGCAATGAGAGACAAAGTCATGACTTTACAGTTACCAGACTCTACAGTCGCCGGGTTCGAGTCGCTCCCTTGTACTCACCGAGACTCCATCCCGGCCACGGATCATAGAGTTACACCCAGCGCTACAGCAACAAAGGTATAGCCATTCTACCCAACTAGCCTCCGTGCGGAGTCCCATAGCATAGTGGTTAGAGCACTCGCCTCACAAGCGAGAGGACCCGGGTTCGATTCCCAGTCAGGGCGAAACCTTAGGCAAGTTACCTTACTGCCCACGCACATACACACACACGCACGCACGCTTCTGTTTACCTTGCAGGAACCCGGTCGTTGGTCAAATGGCGGATCACTTTCCGGGGATAATAATCCCTTCCACCTCCCTCCCCACCCAAAAATAATTTTTGCTCACTCAACCCGTGACTGCGTGCGGGGACGCTGCTGTGCGCAAGTGGCTGCTGCGGTTCGCCCGCAAAACGCACAGCCACTCCACTTTACAGTATATGCTGCAAAGCGCTTTGAGGCGTCTCGAAGACGTGATAAGGCGCTGTATCAAATGCGAGGATTATTATTATTACAACAGCACAGCACTCCCTCCCCACCCCACCCCAGCCCCCAGTGTCGGTCTACACCGTGAGCTCAAAATCCCTAACGTGTGCGTGCGCGTGCGCGTGCGTGCGCGCGTGCATTTGTGCGTGGAGAGCGTGGAAACCGGCAAACCTCTGACACCTCGGCGAGGCCGGCGCGTTACCGACAGAGCCGTGGGGCTGACTCACGGAACATCTGAAGCAGAGATTGCAGTGGCTTTCAACAGGGAAACCGTTTGAAAATAGAGCAATAGAAAAATAGGAAGAATATAAATTAGGCGTGTGAGGGGGTGGGTGTGAGGGGATGGGAGAAAGAGAGGAGGGAAGAGTGTGAGAGTGGTGGGGGGTGGGAGTGGGGGGGGGGGAGCTGCTGAGAGATCTATCACAAAGCCAAGCCAGTGCAATCACGCTGGGCTGAAAGGCTTTCCGCTCACTGTTAGCTCACGTTGCCCAAACCGTTATTCCGTGTGACAGCATCAAATCAACCACAAGCACTCTGCCTCAAATCGCTTTCTAAATTGCTCCTTAAAAGTACCTTCAAATGAGAATCCCTGACAGAAACGCACACACACGCACACACACACGCACACACGCACGCACCCACCCCTCGTCAGTAAACATCGATGGCCAGTGGATTAAAAAAAAACACTTTCCGTGACTCCGCACTGGAGGAATTTGCAGGAGAGACTGACTGAGATTGTACGTTTGAGGCTTACACGGGTAGCGGGGGCTAAATTAGCCGAAAGACTGGCTGAGTTAACGCAGTGCTGTCTCTCACCTTTGGGGTCAGAAGGCTGCGATTTTCCACATCCAACATCAGGGACTTTAAGCTCACAGTAACCGGCTGGTAATTAACCTTCTTCCCTTTCTCCACACCCACCCCTCCACCCAAACACCACGGTCTCCTCCAGTTTTCACCGCCCGCCACTCAGCATTTGACACCAGCGCCTTATCTTGCGGTCGAGACGTCTCAAGGCGCTTCACCGAATATACCACGAAGTGGATTGACCGCGTGTATTTTGTGGGCGAATTGCGCACAGCAGCGAGTGGTCCCACGAAACGGATGGAGTGACCAAACGTGTTTGGTTTTTGGGAGGGTTTTACCACCACCCCAAAAAGCGATCCGCCAATCGATTAACAACAACTGGGTTCCTACTTACTGCTGGGTAAGCAACTCGCGCTGGGTGAGGACCCATTTTTAACCAGGAGACTGGGTGGGGTTTCCAGGACTCGTTGTGTGCAAAACAACAACAACGATACAATACAATAACGGTGATTACCTCCCGCTCGCCCCCTAATAATTACTTACTTTGGCTTTGTTGATTGAGCAGTGTAGAGCGTTGTTTTCCTGGTCGTACAGCAAACTGTAATCCAACGTGCCGAGGGTGGCTAGAGAGAGAGAGAGAGAGAGAGAGGAGACAACGGCGTTTAAGGCGTCAACAAGAAAAGGGGAGCGATTCCAAATTGTGATTGTAATTGTAATTAATAAGAGAGAGAAAATGATCCCACCAAGTGCTGAGTCGGTGGGAAATTTAACCCTCGCATTTTAATAACAGTAATCCTATCATTTGATACAGCGCCTTATCACATCGGCGAAGGGTCTCAAAGGGCTCCACCAGGATACACTGTAAAGTGGATTGACTGTGTATCTTGCGGGCGAAACGCGGCAGCCAATCGCGCACAGCAGCGTCCCCACCCACTGGCGAACGGTGGCGGATTGAGTGACCGCTCTTTCATCCCCCCCACAAGGGATTATTGCCACCAGATCCGCCAACTGACTAACAACCGCATTCCTACTTCACTGCCAGTTAAACAGAGACGTGCGGAGTTTAGAAACTCGGCCGAGGTTTCGCCGGGAATCGAACCCGCTTGCGAGGCGGCGAGCGGGCTGACCGCGACCCTACAGGGCTCCCACTCCTCTGCCTTCACAGATTAAAGCCACGAGTCGTTGATACAATCAGGAGAAGTTGCTGCAACACGGACTTAACAAGTGTTATTCTGCTTGTGGTGTAGCCTGCGTCTCTCGCTCCATTAAACCAAACCGCGTGTGACATTTTAATAACAAAAAAAAACCCTCTCTCTCTCTCTCTCTCTCTCTCTCTCAAGTAATTCTATCACAAGCAAATAATCTCCAGCGAGATCAACAATTGACTGACTTTTCTATTCAGCGTCAAACAATCTCAGCGAGCGGACTGCTCGCAGGATGTTCCCGTGGAACCAAATGCATTGGCACATTCGAGACAAGTTCTCCACCGCTCGTCCGTCACCATCAGGACCTCGTCCTTCTTCGCCGGGAGGAGACCTTACACCCTGAGGGGGCCAAAGCCCTAACGGGTAAGGTGGTCCTCGCTGGGCAAGCAGAGGGAGAGCTTGCCAGACCACAACAACAACATTGCACTCACATAGCGTCCTCCACACAAAAGCGCTTAACAGTGGCTGGAGCCTGACTCGCTCTCAATGGGAAGCTGCATGGTTTTAGCTGGTTAGACTCCAGCAAGTACCCCCAACACACACTCTGGGCTTCACCCCCACCCCCCGTCGCCCACCACCACTTCCTCCCCCACTTCCAACCCCCCTACCCAACGCTCTTGCCAACCTGCGCTTAATACTTTCCGGAATTAGGTGAGCAGGACGTGCGTATCCCTCCAGGGAGAGAGATGGAGAGAGAGAGAGGGGGAGAGAGAGAGAGAGAGAGAGAGGACGCATTCCATTCCAACAATCTATCTCTGGGAATTCCACGCGTTGGGATGCACGGAATTCTCGGTTTGGTTTGGATGCTCTTAAGCACGGAGATGGGTTTCCGCGTGTGTCAAACATCGGTCTGGGCGAACGGTACAGATCCTGCAGACCTATTCGAAAAGAAAAGAGAGTTTTCTCTCTCTCTCTCTCTCTCTCTCTCTCTCCTGGGATGTGTGTCCTGGACTGCAATCCGACAATTATTATTATTCTATTCACAATACTTTATGTACAGCCGTGAAGTGAATGACAAATTATACAAACCCCACACACAAAACGCATGCGCACGCACGCACACACTCACAGAAAACACACACACACACACACACAGACACGCACACACGCATACACAAACACAACACGCGGAAAACGCGAGCGCACGCACGCACAATGCACACACAAAGCGGAACGCACGCGCGCAGACCTACACCGCGCAAACACACGGACATGCAGACACACGCGCGCACACACACACACATGTTCGATCTCACAAGGAGGGTGTGAGTTGGCAGTCGGGTGAAGGATGCGAAGAACGGAACGAGTTTTTACGTGTAATTAAACGATTCTACTGCCTGGCTTGTTTGGTTTGGCAGATAATATGTCGCGATTGCGATCAGAGAGAGTCCAGGAGCGAGAGAGAGAGAGAGAGAGAGGGAGAGGGAGAGAGAGTGAGGAGGAGGTGGGGAGAATAAAGCTCAGCATTGACTGAGCTGCTGGGTGATGCTCCAGTGAGATTATGAGGTTAACAACAGACACAAAATGAGCGTGAGATCTGCCAGAACTTGGAACTTGTGAATTTGTCTGCCCTGAGGTGCAACCACTGCTGGCGCTGGAGAGGCTGTGTCACACACACACACAGATTTACGCACACACACACACACACACACGCAGATTTACGAGCACATACACGTGCACACACACAGATATCTGCACACATACATACACGCACACACACAGACACACAGGCACAGATATAAACACATACACACGCGTACGCATACACACACTCACAGATATACGCGCGCACACACACACACACACAGATATACACGCACGCTCACACCCGCAAAAAGAATCACGCTCGCGCGCGTACACACGCGGGAACGCCCGCACACAAGACACGCAAACGTGTAATAATAATAATAATAATAATAATCCTCGCATTTGATATAGCGCTTTTCACGTCGGGAGGACGTTCCCAAAGCGCTTCACAGAACACACTGTAAAGTGAATTGACTGTATATTTGTGGGCGAACGCGGCAGCCAATTGCGCACAGCAATGTCCCCACAAACAGTCGTGGATTGAAAATGACCAATTTATTATTGCTTTTGGTTTTGGAGTGATTATTATTAGGCTCTGTGTGGAGTAAGGAAACTTGCCCGAGGTTTGGCCCTCTGCCTGGGATTGAACTCGGGTCTCTGAGTGCTCTAACCACTGAGCTGCAGTACCCCGCACCCCACGCCCACGCACAACAGGGTACAAAAACATCGAGCCTCTGAACAGCCCGCACACAGAGGCTGTTGTGAAGTGCTGGGTGTCTCCCAGCCCACGCTCGCCGAGACCCACAGACACCAGCCTCTCAATATTCTCATCACTCTGCGCTGGGAGCTCTGCTCACAGCTCCTGCATCCTAATTCCTGCCCAACACTCACTGCTGCTCTCCATCAGAGGGGAGAAAACGCTGCTCACAGACAGACAGACGGACAGACAGACAGACGCACAGACAGACGAGGCTTGTGTGTCGGAGCGTTGCTCTGACCAGGGACGGGGTGGGGCGTAGGGGGGAGAGGTGGGGAGGGGGACAGAGGAGGGAGCCCGACACTGACATTTAATTCCAATCACGACAATTACTGGAGCCACACGGCTGGTTACACAGCGCAGTCGGGTGGACATTAAGAGACTCTATTGCCACTGCCCCCTCCTCCTCCTCCCCCCCCCCCACCGTCTCCCTCTCTCTCTAAATCCCCTCCCACCTCATCCCCTCGTTTACCCCCCACCCCCACCCCCACGCTGTCGCGCTGGCATTAGTCGCGGCTAAACAACCACAACCACAACAACAACAACAACAAATTACATTTTCCGCAGCAGCTTTCACATTGGGAGGACGTCCCAAGGCACTGGACAGCAACACTAACCGCGCTGGGGGTTGGGATCAGGAGGGGTGGAGGACGGGGGGGATGGGGGGGGGGGTGGGTAGGTGGCGCGGTCGAAGAGGAGGGTCTCGAGAGGAGCCTTGTAGGAGGCAAGGGGGGGAAGCGAGGTGAGGCGAAGGGACGGAGGGATGGAGTCCCAAAGGCTCGACCACCGATAGTGGGGTGGGCAGGGAAGGGGACACGGAGCAGGCTGGAGCCCGCAGAGCGGAGGGACAGGTTGGTATGGAGTCAGCAGGTGACTGAGGTAAGGGAGGAGCAAGACCCTGAGGGGGGGGCTTTGAAAGCAGAGACTAAACAGCGGAGGCGATGCTGCGGTGCGGACAATTACCGTGTTGCTCATTGTTGTGACGGGAAGCTTTATCGGTCCATTAGCAACAGTTTGCTCCGGCGAATGATTCTGCAAAAACATTATATTACACAGTGCGGTGGAGTGGGGGTGGGAGGGGAGGGGGTTCCAGCACTCTGCAGCACTCACCCACTGGGCTCAGTGCACAGGCTGATCTTTCCGCTTGATACAACGCCTTATCACATCGTCGAGACGTCTCAAAGCGCTTCACAGGATATACTGGACAGCGCAGTGACTGTGTGTTGCTCATCCACAAAATACACAGTCAAATCCACTTGACAGTGAAGCGCTTTGAGACGTCTCAACGTGATAAGGCACTATATCAAACGCAAGGAAAGGATTATTATTATTGTTATTAATTATTATTATTATTAATATTATTAAGGAGACCCGAATTCTTGGTTCCAACCCTCGGAGGCGCTCAGCGACACAGGCCCCGGCTCCGCACAACTGCAAGAATTATTATTAATGTTATCGTTAATATTAATTCCCTCATCACCGAACGAGCGTCAGCAGGAGTCTGCTGTCGCTCGGGCCACCGACGGTCGGAAGGAAGCGAGGAGTCTTTCTCGCCGCGTGAAAAGGAGCGGCGGTCACGCTTCTCGGTAGCGTCTCAAAGTGCAGCGTCCATCGACCGCAGCATCTGACAGCCACCGTCAGCATCTGACAGAGAAATCGAACGCACTTTTATTGCCTTGCGACGGCAATCAATGTTTTATTCCCAGCTATTCCCCGCCACTGCCTCTCCCTCTCCCTCTCCCCCTCTCTCTCTGTCTCTGTCTCTGTCTCCCAGTTGCGTAGCGACAGGGTTTTCTGCGCAAGCGAAACTCGGCAGCCAATTTTACCCGCAAAAGCGGTGTCCCAGTAGCCAGCCAGCCGTGAACGGCAAGTCATTTTTAAAAAAAAAAAAAACGGACATTAACCCAAAAAATAAGTTCGGGAGAAAGGAGGACGGGGTTGGAGGGAAAGACTGCGCGAGGAGATCAGACAGATGAGATTGATCAGACACATCAGGGCAGCGAGGCAGCAAACTGTACGATACAATATAATCGACAGCCGCACGCCGTAATTGCCAGTTTATAACGTCGTTACTTATTGATCCGCTCCCTCAGAACCTCTCTGATACAGCTATAACTTACAGTTTTTAACCGAG